CGCGCGGTGCGGTGTGTACAAGTAAACTGCATTCGACCGAGCGAACGGCCTTTGCGAAACAATCGATCTCGAGGTATTATGTATATTTATTATACGCGCGGGGCGAAGAAGAGAAAAAATAACATCGTGTACCGAGCTGCGCGGTCCACTGCGAAGGTCTTTCGCAGGCTGCGGCAACGAGTTTTTCGCGCTGCATCGCTCGCACACGGCAGCCTGGCATATTTTCGCGTTGCATATATATGTGGGTTCGAACGAGCGGGCCGCTAACAATCGTGTGCGTTTGATAATACAACGTAATGGCCAATCTGTAAGGCCATACCGATCTTTACAATAATCTCGAACGCTCGAATGGTTAATTATTAATGTGCTTACACGCGCGTACAAGAGTTGTTTGTAAAGTCTCTAGCGTGGCTTTCACTCGATCAATTTTATTTTTTTTTGTTTTTTCGATTCATGTACATAGGTACTAGTGGTACGAAAATTTAACTTATTAACGAACAACTGCAAATTTTTTCATAAATAGACTTGATTAAGCTTTGTCCGTTCGCGAGGATATAACGTATACACACTCGCGCCGGTCCTTGTGATATATGTATATACGACTGCTCGTCCAGGTACGCAATTATCAATTACGTAAAATAATTTTGCGATTGCCATTATCCAATTCGCCGATGGCTTTGTAAAGAGCCTCGTCGTCGAGAGTCTCGAGTCTTGAGAGCTGCAGTTTCTCAATCGATTGTCTCTGCGCCGAATGGTCCTCGAGACGACGACGATTGTGTACCAAAAAAATACTCGGCGCAAACCTGTTTTTTCGACGATTAATTCGGCGATAACTCGCGCGAGATGTGCGTATAATAAACTTACTCGCACACGCGCACATATATACATATACAAATGTATATAAAGGCGCGATATCGTGAAAGCCCCTGACATTGCCAATGTTAATAGCCGCGCGCGCACGGCTCGTCGGCTCGTTTCGAAGCGAGAATTTCTTTTTGCCCGATTTTTTGGTCGAACATCAAAAATGCATCGGGGGGGACCCACAACCAGTTATAACTAACGAGTCGTACTGCGCTGCAGCGTCGCGCCAATTGCATTAATAATAATAAAAGTTCGCTCTCTTGCGCGCGCGGCAGAGGTGACCGCAAACTGGCGAAAATATATTAAAGCCCGATAATTCACTGCGCCGCTGCTTTTACGATGTTCGAAAAACGCTCGTTACAATACACTCGAAAATATATAAAATATGAGCGATGAACGATCGGAGCCTGTGCGAGGCGCTCTGCAGTCGAAAGAAAGAAACGCGAGAAAAGCATTTTGCGGTTCACCCGCGCGAGGCGCATAGCTTCATCGCAGTAGATGTACCATTATGAATTATAATCGCGCGTGTACAGCGCGAGATAATGAGCCAGAAATTAAAAAGTTCATAAACGCGTATACTAATCAATTTCCGAATCTTAAACCACACGCGCATACACGCACGAGTAATATCCGTTGCCTATGGTGCGGTCTTCCTCAAAAATACGTTCGCGAACGTGTGCACGAGTGCGCGTTACGCGTCGCTTATACTATAATATAGGCGCGCGGTTCGCCGACTGATATTACACTTTCCCTCTCGTTGGCTTTATGCCACTACTGTATACGCTTAACAAGGAAGCTCGAACTGATCTAATACGATTTTTTTCTCTCTTTTTTTGCATTCGTTTTGATATAGACGAGGCAAAAAGCAATCAACGCCTATATACCGAGTTCCAAGAACCGATCGAGCCACGTCGCAGTGGTAGCCATATGTATATTGGACGCGAATCGGACATCGGTTATGCCGAGTTGATATCGATGCCAGTCTGTGCGTACACCGCGGAATTGCATACGAGTATATGTATAATGAATATCGTCGCACTCTCGGTTTCCAATAATTCGCCGTCTTCTGCACTTCGATAATCTCTTGGAATAACGTTGTAACACGCGCCGCGCGCAGTTCGTCAAACGGAAACTCCTGTCGCTCATTATAGTCTTGCGATTCGACGTATATTAAACGCAATCTTACGTGCGTCTATATAGAAGTTCGCTGCGCTTTCGATTGTAAATCTTACGAGGCGCGCTTTTATCTCTTTCTCCAATATGTAATGCGCCCTGACAATTGAATATTATATTTATGTTATATAGCTCTGTGACCGCGAGAGGAACTGCTGCGGCTGCATATATTGCTCAATCCCGTGGACTTTTCAAGAATCGACACGTATTATGCATCACAGGTGGACCCACCATAAGGTACGCGAAATTGAATCAACATTCGTAACTCTCGGACTTTCTCGTTTTTATAAACGTTGTATACTCTGCTGGCGGTAATAAAAGGGAATTATAAACTATCGATGTAAAAATGCACGGCGGTATACAAATGTCGTCGCTCGACGATCGGCTATCGCCGTATAATATATGCAATGAAGAAACCATTACAGGTAGTACTAACGACATCCCATAGTGCAGCTCCTCTAGATCGTGTTTACATTACGCTGCTGCACGACGATGCTGTGTCTTTGTAAATTTCGCGCGACACTCGGGAAAATCGGCGACGCTGTATATACTTCCAAGCGTCAATCATCTTGTCAAAGTCACGGTACAGCTTTGTAAATTCACTCTTATGAAAGATGGGGGAATGCATCGTCCGCGTCTTTCTTTTTATTCAATCGGCGAAAGAAGAAGCGCCGCGAGCTATATGCTTCTGTATGCAGCAGCACATGTGTAGAGAGGTAGCCCACACACTCGGCTGCTGCGCACAGTGCTTAATTGCCCGGTTGAAAGTTACGCGCACGAATTGCTCCGTAGGCTGCTTATAAGATCTCTCTTAGGAGAGAGAGAAAGAGACTTTTCCTCTCTCTACTTCGCTACACTTTAAAGTGTGACGAATGACTGGACGCCGCCGCCGCGAACCAAAGACGTTAAATGAAAATTGCCATGGATTAATGATTTTATAATGGCTCTCTCTCGTCTGTACGAATACATTTATTTATATGACGATTCTCAAGAGAGTAGCTCTGACTTGAGAAATATTATATACGGCTAATTTGCAACGATCGAGTGCCTTGTCGTTGTTTTTTTTTTTTTATCTCGACTCGTTGAATGGCTCGTGAGTCGAAGAATTATACGATCCATCAATTTACCTTTGATGGGTGTATTTTTGTTTCTCAATAAATTGATATCGCTCGCGCGCCAAAAACTTTCGAAAATGCCATGACTCATCTTCTGCTGTCAACTTGCAATGTTTATCATACCTTGTTGCACCGTCATTATTATTAGTTATTTAATACAAAAAAAAAGAGTCTCGAAACGCGGACGATCTATCCTCCGAGTATTATCCTCGCAGTAATTACCTCCATGCAAATGAGCTTATACAGTCAAGTATGCGTTCGCGAGCTCGTTGGCTATCTTATGGTTTCGTCACTTCGATACATGGAAAAAAAATGTCAAAAGAATACGGAACCTTGAAAATGAAACAAGTATAAGTAGCGACAGCTCCGTTTACACGTTGAATTATATTAAACGCCAATACATCACTCGCACATCTAGTTAAAAAAAAAAATCAAAACGGCGTCGAGTGTGTGTTGCGCGCGATAAAACGATTTTCACAGCTGCTGCACGAGTGCAAATGAGCTATTTCGAAATTCAGCTTTACACGTGTACGTTGTATATATACGAATTATGCGCTCGCGTGCGCGGAAGCGCGACGACGACGACGACGACTGCGATGCTCTTTTCACCATTTTACCACTACTAGTGTGAACATTTTCACCTGTGCTCACTCGATTTATGGTGCACGTAAAGTGCCGCTTTAATATACGCTTTGAAAAGAAGATACGTATCGCCCTTGAAAAGAGACTCGTCCATTTTCTCGAGCTGCTCTGGCGCGCGCTTAATGCAATGAATTTCAAATGTACTTTTTGCATTTTTCTAGAATATATATTTTCAAGAGGATGATTCAGTATTGTAAAAATATATCGCGTTCCTTATTCGTTTTGAATTGTAATAAGAGTAAGAACTGAGTGCAGAAAGAGAATTTGGGATGGTTAAAATTAAAATCAACCGGTTCTTCTGAAACGGTCAGAAGATAAAGCAAGACTCATAAATTTTTTCAAGCGACAATATATGCAAACAGACAAACAGATAAATATTTTAAAGTTGTTTTACTATACATAAAAAACCATACGCATCTCGTCGCTAATTAGTACAATTATCAAAAATAACTATGAACATTCGTGACTATATTGAAACCCTCTTATGGTACTTTACATCTCTTCAAACGACCGATTGTTAAAAGTAGACTTGCTTAATATCTCGATACATAATAACGAGGCAGCATTAGACGCATTTTTATCGAGAAAAGACCGATCGGCGGCGGCACGTGTTACGTTGTCTCGAGGGCTCATCTGCTCCTCTCGTGACGTACACCACATAATATAGTAAAACTCGGCACGTAATTGTGTGTGTGTGCGCTGCTGCGAAAATCGAAACGCAATTGACATATCTATCCTCTATTATATGCACACGATGCGCTATGTTCCAACGACGTGTAATGTATACCCAACAACTGTAAGGAGACGACTTGTAACTCGTGTGTTATAAAGTATAGACTGTGTTTATACACGTATTACGTATGTGAGGAATTGCGTCCGCGTTGCGATTGGATTTTATTCTGCATCGGGATGCGAGCTGTATACTATATACGTACAACAGAACCTTGTGAAACGATCAAACAATAAGGAGACTTACAAAAGTGACTGTTGCCGTTTGTTTTTTTTTTCGTTGCTGCAGAATTTTCATATAGTTATTCCATTGATTGAGGAGGATAAAAAATTTCGGTTTTTTAAAACTATGATACAATTAATTACTAGCTAATTTCATTAGATTTGTGTTTCAATTTTTTACTTACTATGAAGGTATTAGGTTTATCAAAATTTTTACAAATGCACATTTTTACAATTATATACAGATCGTAATATTTTATTAAAATAATTTACTGTACAAAATCACATAGTGTCCAAAAATATACAATTCACTGCTCTCGCGTGTACATTTTTTACTATTAAAATATCATTTTCAAAAATCGTTAGTTAATACAGAAATATTAAGTGCATTATTAAGACCAGCTTAAATCAATAAAAATCAAAGCAACTGATTGAGTCATTTTTTTTCTAGAATGGCACACCAATTGCCCTGATCGTAATAAATTTCTTCTATGTTAGATTCTGGAACTGTTTCACAAAGTTCTCTGAGTTCTCCTTCGTGAAAAACATGATAAAATCTCAAAAACGATTCTTCTTCTTTTTTCCATGGAACTAATAAATCGCGGTGATCAAATTCTGTGCGATTTTCGTGAACTGGCAGTGTTATCGAAATTTCATTATCGCGATGCATCACTTTAGTTGGGGTTTGTTTTTCACCTGCTTTTATTCGCGTGTCTTTTTTCGTTTTACCAGATTTCAAATACTTTGAATTAACTGAACCACGCGATTGTTGCTTCGCCCAGACATAAATCAGGGCTTTGCCTCCGGGTCGCAATATTCTTATAATTTCGACGATGGCTTGGCGACGCCTTTCTTCTGTTGACAAGTGATGAATAACAGCTATACAAATTACGGCATCAAGAGAATTTTCTTTGTACGGTAAATACAAACAATCTCCGCGGGCCACTTCGAAGTTTCTTTCCCTACATATTTGCAATAGATTCATGGTACGATCAATACCAAACTGAAAAAAAAATTATTATCATTTTTTCTTTTACAAATTAAGTTTGGTAGATTAAAAACTTGTCTATAAATTCAATAATATAACTCACTTTACAGATATTGGGATTCACGTGTAGATATTTTCCATTACCACAACCTACATCCAACAACAGACTTCCAGGTTTTAAATTTTTTACAAATGTTTCAACATTGTGCCATGGTGTGTGTCTGGTTTTACTAAAATGATCTGATATGCTTTCATAGACCTGTAATGTTTTTTTATGAAAGATATTATTTATATGAGAACAACTATTAAATTGTAATAAACTAGTGAGATATTTACCTCATGTACATAAGTTTCTTCAAGTTTAGATGCAACTTTGTCTGTGATCGTTGAAACTGGATTGATCAAATTAGGCAAACTTTTTGAATCATCTTTATTATCAGATGATGAATTATCAACATTACTATCGTAACTTTTTTTAACTCTTCTGAAAGTAAATGAAACCCTAATGCCTCTTTTTCTTACATCATCACCACTGTCAGTTTCTACAACATCATTTTGTCGTTGAGCAATACCATGAGTCCATTCTCTAAATGCTTCACCACTCATGATTAAAAGAGATCTTTGTGGCAAATCAATAGATACTTTTTGTCTTTGTTCTAATGAATCACATTTGCAAAAATCCATCACATAGCTTGAATTAAGTGAAAGCGAGAGTATTGGTTCATCAAAAACTTCATTATTATCTACGTGATTTGGAATTCCTAAAAAATATTTAAAAAAAATTAATTTAAACACACTATGATTTTTAAAAATGAAAATAGCTTGAAATACCTTGTCCTGGGAGATATCTGTTAATTGTTAATTGATTATAGTCAACATTTTCAGTCATTAAATCTTCAAAAGATTTTAGCAGGAATCCATATTTTTCTGGTATTGGAGACACTGTTGCATCTTTCTTTACTGTGTTAGAATCATAACAAAATCTATAGCCAAAATGTTTAACTCGTCTATTCTTAAGAATAGATTTTTCTTCTAAAATTATGAAGTTAAATATTTTTTATTTTCAAAGATAAAACTATAAAGGTTAAATAAGTTACCATTATCATTCCAATCAAGATCATCTAGCAACAATTTTTCTTCATCCGGAGTAACAAAGTTTTTTATTAGTCTCAAACCATTTGGATAATGGGATGGTGGAGGACAATGATTCAATGTTTTATCTGCAACTATTTGATTAAATTAATTCATTGAATTTTTCTGAATTTCTCGTAAACTCCACATTTATAATAAAAACATACCTGATTTCACATAACCTAGACAGAATGGCACTTTGCGTTCATTAACAACAAATTTAAGTTTTCCATGACTTTGACTATAAAAGTCTTGAGCTTCTTTCACAGAATCAAAATCAAAGAAACAATAAGTTTCTCCTGCTGGCATGCTCAGCGTATACCTAATTTCTGGTAATGCCTGTGATACATATTGCTCGAAACATTCTTTTTCCAGCACATTGGCCAATCCAAGATTGCAAAGAATTACTTTCTGTAAAACAAAATAAATTATTATTTAAATGTTTCAAATGAGCCGCAGAATTTTTTTTTCACCTACCCTGGTTGGCTCTATTGAAAATTCAGCCAAGTGACTCATTCTTTTTCGAGCTCGGTTCAATTTTTTATCTGCTTTTGACCACAAAGACTCTTCCGAATTCATGAGGATGGACAGTGTTTACTGGTCAGTGGTGAAATTAAATGTCGTAGAGTGTGACAGTTGTTTGAAATGTTTTAAGCGTATGCACATACATTCACACGTGCTTGATGTTTACATTGCCTATGTACCTGTCAATCCTGTTGACAAAGAACAAAAAATACTTTATAGCGTGATGAAAAAATCTTGTGACTAATGATAATTTATTCTTCACTACTTTATTAGTTATTTGTACCTATTTTATGATTATATTATCAGAATTGAGGAAGTGTATACATAACAAGTTAGATTTCACGAAGTACGGAGCACATGTCATCGGGCTCGAGACATCGTCTGCTTCAACTGCGCGCGCACTCTGTTGGTAATTTCGTAAACTCGTAGTCGAAATTCAAATCACGCAACTCTCGAGTGGCTGTGCTACTCTGACACCTGACGTTTAATTTGTGAATTTTTGTTGTCTACGCTGGTAATAAGACCATGCGCTTTTTTGAATGGTCGTTTTTTATAATAATAAAAACAGAAATATAAACTTGTATCAAATGGAAATTAAATATTGAAAAAAAAAAAACATCTATGAAGTTTCTGTAATTTATGATTGATGACGATAATAGCGATACATTATTTTAATTATTTTTAATTTAAAATTTAAAAAGTAAAATGAGTTAGTTTAAAGTGTTTAGAAATTAGTGTCGAAATAATTGGATCAAGGTAAGTGTCCAAAACATTTTTTTACTGACATAACTTTAATATAAGTCCAATTGAAAACAAAAGATTCATATTCTCTGTTTAAGCTCACATTTTTCAGAAACAAATGAATAAAAGATAATCTTTGTTATCATTTGTGAATCAGATTTGATGTTATAAAATTATGATTATTTTAAAAGTATTTTTATCATATTCGAATTCTTGACTTTTCACAATATTTTATTAAAGTAATTCAAAGTACATAATCACACAATATCATAAAATATAAAATATTATTGTTCTCAACACTCATATATAATTATAAAAAAATTGTTCGATAATATATCAGCATCAGAACAGAATTTGCTGTTTATGACCAGCTTAAATGCGTTACGATCAAGATATTTGACTACATCAATCCATTTTTTCACAAACGACACAACAATTACCCTGATCTTCATAGGAACTAGTCACCGTTGTTTTTGGAACACTTAGGCACAAATTCATCAGTTCTTCTTGATTGAAAACATGATGAAATAACGGGTTTTCTTCTGACATTAATAAATCGATGTCTTTAAAGTTTATTTTCTTTTTGTAAAGTGGCATCAATAAGGACATTTCAAAATTTCGATGCAATTCTATTTGTAATTCGTCTAACCATTTGTCACTTTTTCGTTCAATTCCATTGTCTTTTGCCCACACGTAAATTAGGGCTTTGCCTCCAGGTCGTAACACTCTCATGATTTCGGCGATAGCCTGTCTGCGTCTTTTTTCCGTCGATAAATGATGCAGCACATTTATACAAATCACAGCGTCGAGAGATTTTTTTCTATAAGGTAAATATAAGCATTGTCCATGAGCAACTTGATGGTTTTGCCTGCGGCATTCTCTCACGAACTCCATGTTATGATCAAAACCGAGCTGAAAAAAATAATTTCAATGTTATTATTCATTCATATAAGTTGAGATGTGCAAAATCGAAAGGTTAATTTATTATAAGCTGAGCGTAGAGAAGCTGTGTGTCATGGCTGGTTTCCTTAATTTTCGAGTATCCCGCTGTCATACGAGAATTCGAAAGGTTTTTAATCGATCGATTTGAAACTTTTGACACTTCATATTTTTGACGTTTATGTTATTTTTGGGTAATTTGTATGTAAGTATGCCGTTACAAACATATAGTAGTGTGATTTTATGTTTCATCGATACCAATAACAATTAACTAAGCTCAGCTTTTTAAAACAAACGTTTCTGCACTCTTATAAATTTATAAACAAATAAACACTACTCACTGTGACGATATTTGGGTTTACATTCAGATAGTTTCCTTTGCCACAACCTACGTCCAGCAGTAAACTTCCAGGTTCTAAATTATTTATAAAATCTTTGACCTTTTCAAATGGTTCGTAACCGTCATCCGATGACTTTTCATAGGCCTACAACATTTTTTTTAATAAATCGATATTAATTACACGAAAAGAACCAAAAGAATGTTGAAAACTCGATCCGACTTATTCACCTCTTGTACATAAACCTCTTCGAGTTTTTCAGCCAATTCGTCCGTAATTTTTGTATACGGACAGATGTCTTTCAATTGTAATTTCGGTAATTTTTCAAATTTCAAGGATGGATCTTCAATTTTCCTCGGCGCTGGTTCCGCGATACGTCGGTTTCTTATTACTATGAAGTCGTCCACGATACTACTTATGGTTGCTGTATCATCCGCCCATAAAGCATCGATTAGGTGATTATGTTGAGAACTGAAATAATCATCCGGATCTCCTAGAAATCTATCTTGCCTATGTCTCCAGTTATCTAATGCATATTTTTTCCAGCCTTCGAAATCATCTGCAAACCTAGGAACAGGTTCGGCTTCCGCGTAAGGATGCGTGTCGTTGCCAATATTCGATTCTAAGCCTGGTACATCTGGATCCTCCCTCGTAGCGCGACGTGACTTTTTCTTAAAAGTCGGACACCAATCAAAGTTTATGTTACCATGAAAGTGTTGCCACAGAGACATGTTGGAGTCCGCACAAAAGTTCGCCTGTCAACTGTAATAATGTCACGCACTATCTGTCGTATACACGTGTCACGAATTAACCGTTGAAATTCGTTCAATTCACAAAACGTAGCTGCATCGCACGCAAAAATTTGGCAGCTACAACTTCCAGCTCGTTATTTTATCATACAAAAACACTGACTGACGCAACTCCATCGGACTCGCCGGAATCGAACTGTTTTGGTCCGAATGTGGGGGGAACGAATAACGATCGATCTATTCTAAGCCTCGATGACTTGTTGTGTATTACGCCGCAGAAATTTTGGGAAAAGTATGAAGAGAGATAAATTAACGCTGCGCGCGACAGCTGTCAGCCGATTGCTACATTGGCTGTTTTTTTTTACACGTGTTGGTAATTGTTATTTCGGCGATCCACTCTATTCTGGCCCGACATCTTGCGTTCGAATTCGTAAACTGAAATTTTGGAATCGTACCTTCGTTATCTGCATCGGTAACTATTAATTTTTTTTTCGAGCGTTCGTCGAATATATATATAATCAAAATAACGCGCCCCAGATTTTCGAAATCGAGGTCATATTTGTGTTAACGGATACCAACGCGTGTGGGCTGTTTGATTCGAAAAATCGATTGGTTTCCCTTCGACTAGGTACGATTTCAGGATATTTCTTGCAGAATTAAACAATTCAGCAGCGAATTTGTTTCGGAAACGAACAATTTTTTTACGGCCTGAAATTATTTTTTTTATCTGCTTTTCGCGCACATACTCTTTATCGGGTAGCAAACTATTTAACATATTTGTAAAACGTGTACACTCGAGTTACATAAATACAATATCTGGTACGCATTAAACGAGCAGCTTTAAATCATTAACCGTAAAGATAAGTAATCGCGAACGAGCATCTTTATTTAATCACGGAGAAAAGTATACGAGGCACTCGGTAAAGGTCGAGTTTTCTTGGCATTAAAATAATTCGAATGCCAAGAGAGGAGAGCTCGCGAGTTCCGAAAAAGTACACATCGCTACGCTACGTGATGAAAATGGTAATGTATTCGAGCTTTTTTTTCAGTTCTAGACTCGTTCTCCCGCAGAGTCTAGTCCAGTTTCGTAAAAATAGCACAGGGCAGCTCGCGTATACGGGCAATCGCATGAATAAAACAATTTCGGACAAAAATGTTCGCGAAACAATTTTCAATATTTCATTTATATCGATACGATCGAGGTATAACGAAGGTTAATGTTTTTGTCTTATCCCAGCCCGTTCAATACGTATTCATATCTCGATTGAGAAAACAACTGATAATACACATCCACACGAGCGAAGAGACGCGGCGAATCTCGATCTATCCCCGAAACTCGATGTTGGCTTATCGAAATTTTCAATATTTTTACAGAGCAGCAGCATATCACACACATACACATTTCGATTCTCCGACATTTTTTTTCTCGCAAAACGATACATATGTGTTTCGCGGCAATCATATATACACATCCACGCGAAATAATTCATATAATAATAATACGTAACGCTGATCGAACAGCGATATATAGGCGTGTACCAATCATGGATAAGGAATCGATATACGAAAGCTCGAGCTCGAGCTTTTCTCTCCCTTTTTTTTCCGATCGCATCTATATTCGAAAGCCTAGTGCAAAATTGATGCAGTGGCAGTGGCAGCGGCTCTCTTGGATAGAGAATTCGAGGTCGAGCCTGCAGGTGATGACATAACTTTTATCGCGTCTATATAGCACAGTTTTGGCCCGCAGCAGCAGCAGCAGTAGAGGCATATCAAGGCGCGCGTATATATCGTCGCAGGAGATGCAGTTTAGAGCCCGACGAACTCGCTTCTTTGCATCCTGATACGATGTGTATCGACGAGCGAGCTTAGAGATATATATATCGCGCTTATAAGAGATCGCTATGATATACTTAATCTTCTTATTGCAATCAAGCCCGCGGCAAGGCGTATACATAGCTTTCGTCTCTTTGGCGCGCGCCGGAGCTTCGGAGCTTTGCACCCCGCTCGCAAGCGCAGCCAGAGCAGTTAATCGACTTCTCGAGCCCCTGCTAGAGGCGGCAACCGCAAGCTCATAAGTCGCGTTGCGATATATATAGGAGGCACTTTAACGCTTTAGCCCTAAGCCGTCGTCGTCGTCGTCAGCCGTGACAATCTATAATATTTTATTATATCCTACCTAGGTACGTGTGTATACGACGTTACGAAAAATGCACGACTCGCGCGTAAATTATGCACACGAAGTTTTCTCACCTTTTTACGAGAAAACCGCCCCCGTTCGTTACACTTTTTCCAACTCGAGCCGCGTGTGTGTAAAAATCATGGAGGTCATCGATAAGCTTTCGTGTGTCTGGCCTGTGTAGTGTTGTATCAAGTTTCGATTTTACTTTTTTTTTTATCGCTCGTCATTTTTTTTTTTTCGCTAAGCCGCTCGCTTCGTTATATAGTACACATATTGCGCGCCTCGCGCAGAAAACCAAAACGTCATTCAAAATATATAGAGGCGTTTAGTAATGTATCTAGAGCTGACATGACTCTTACGCTCTATTATTACTGCTCATCTATAGAACGCGTTTACCGTTTTTTTTTTCTTCTTCTTCTTCTCTTTCTCTCTCTGTGTTTTTTAATTGTCCGATGACGATTGTCACACCATCGAGTCCGACGCGAGAGCAGTATAATAATGCGACGACGATGATGATGAAAGAAAAGAATAAAGTCACGCGCCAACAATAACAGTTATGATTCAAACCGAGTGAACTACTTCAATATATATAATGCATAAAAACTTCGTCCTCCCCCCGCTCGCGTGCACATTGTGTGCGGACGGACACGTGCAACTCGCTGCTGCTGCTGCGAAAGCGTAAATAGGCTTTCTCTCTCTCTTTCCACTCGTAATAAAGGCGAAAAGTTGTTGTTACGAAAATAAATAAAAAAAAGAAAGAATAAAAACAGAGACGAGGAAAAGAAAGACAAGGACGCGCGATGCTCCGATATTATATAGTAGTAGTAGTTAGCAGCGCGACACGATGTTGCACGCGCCGTATATTTGGGTGTATATATTATATATAAAGAGTCAGGAGTGGCGCGTATCAGCTCGCAGCATTGAGAAAGTCTGCCTGTGTGTGTGTTTGTGTAGTTATATGGATTACTGCAGGCGCGCACATTTGGGTGGGTGGGTGCATATCTACACGAGGGGTAGCAAAAAAGCAGGTATATACCAGTGGCATAATTAAAGGTACAACAACACCAAATAGCGCAAGTCTCTCGTGTCCCTCGGCCGCGCGGTGTGCTGCTCGCCCATCGATCGCTCGTGTGTCCGAACTCGCGGAATTTTAAATGCCTAATCCAGGCACAGCAGGTTTTATAACGATAAAATTACACGTATCGAACGAAGAAAAAAAAAAAAAGATTAAGAAGCGTAATTTGCCGAAAAACGAAATCTGTTTACTTTTCACGCGACCGTGAATAATTTGCAATCGATGTATATGTAGGTCACCAGATGATCCGCGAGCTACTAGATCATCGGTACACACAGACCCACAAAATATCGCTCGTTTCGATAATTCCCAATTAACGGCGTTAACGTGACTCCGTAACAATAATAACAACAACGCGAAAACGACGGAAAGCTAGATAATACAATATGTGGGTAATTGCAAATTCGGAGCGCGTCGTCGTCGCGCGAATTTGTGCAGTTTGTACGGTATACGCATATATGTAGGCGAGACCGCAGCCGAGCGCCACGTTGCCGCCTATCATTCGTAAACACGTATACGCAATGTAATATATAGTCGCGACCGAATAAGGTGCCTGCTCGCTCGTCATCGTGGCGATAGCGCGAAAATTGCGCGTTTATTTACGCACACACGTACACGTGTACAAAAGAAAAGGCGCGCATTATATTTGCAGCTGCTTCTACATGTAGGCCGTAGTGTCGAGTAAAAGCTCCGAAAATTCAAGCTCGCGCACGGGGGCATTGGCAATAGAAGTGTATATGGGCGAGGGCGGCTGCGAAGCACAAGGGCTTGGCGCTGTATGCACGTAGTAGAATATAAGAATGTAAATGCAGTCGCGCGAGAATCTTATAATGCAGGCAATTCGCGCGCGCGCGTACATGTGCTCGAAACGGGTCGAACGAAGACGGAAGATATTGTGCACGCCTGCGATATATTGGCCATGCGGATTGCGGAGAATCGTCGGCCCGTCGTCGTTGCCGCGCGCGCAGAGGCCACACGTCCAGCCGCGTCGTCGCTGCCTCTATACCTACCTACCTACTACTACCTATGTACTTGTGCATATTATATATGCGCGCACACACGAGCAAACTGCATATACGGAGTCCCTCCGTGAGCGATATCTATATATCGCGGCTACGAAAGTTACAAAGCTCCGTCAGTAGCAGCGCAGAGTCCTGCACCGAGCGGTGGTGGTATTAAAGTAGAAGAAGAAGCGGAGCGCGCGCGTGTCTCGAGCCTCGACAAAACGCGACGAGCAGAAAATTCCTGCGATTTTGATTTTCGGCTCGCGGTGTGTGTGTGCGTGTGTACAAGTGCTGCTCCGAATTGGCAGGTTCAGTGATGTGTGCATGAAGCAGCACACAACTACTACTACTCTCTGCACAACACAGCAGTCGCTCTAGTCGCGCGGCCGCCCCCGCAGTTTCGCGCACACTTGATACGCGCGTGTGAGCGTGAAGCGTTATATACCTACTTCTCCATATAAACGCGCGCGCGTGCATTATTATCATTATTATTTATACGTCGTCGTCGTCGTCGTACGAGCGAAGCAGTATACGATTTTGTACTACCACACAACACGCCACGAGCAACCAACCAACGGACACAAAACACACACACACACACACACTAGCATATATAGACACACGCAGCAGCACACGCAGTGCGCGACGAGCCGAGAGCAGCAGCAGCAGCGAGCGCAATTGTAATATTTGTGCGCTAGGCGAAATAGTATAGTATATAGCTTCTCCCGAGGAGCAGCAGGCAGCGATCGCAAGCGAGCGAACGAGCGACTCGAGCGAGTCGTCGTGTGTCCGTCTGTCTCCGTGTGTGCTCGTCGTCTCTCGATCGAGTTTTATATTATATTATATATATAAACGAGCTGTCGTTGTGGTGTACAAAGCAGTCGAGGTCCGGGCCGCCGCATGTACAGCAGCAGAAGCATCAGAGAGCCAGCACTCTGAGATTTAACCCAACAAGATGCTCATCAAGGAATAGTGAGTACTCGTCTATTTTTGCTCTTTTCTCTCTCTCTATTACTAGAACGAAAACAACACACACAACGGATGATCAAGTCATCGTGATGTAAAACGTTTGACGTTTTCGATCTCTCCTTCTCTCTCACTCTTACTCTCCTTCTATCACTCTCTCTCGCCTCGAGCCAGTGTTATATGTGTGTCGTATGGTCTGATTTTCAAAACCCTTACACACCGAACGCGATAAGAGAGAGCGAGAGAGAAGCACGAGCTGTCTCGTGTTCGGTCACGAAATGCTTATCGCCGCCGCGACTACATTAAAACCACTTGTTTTTCAATGAAACTACGATATAGGCTTTTCCTCGTCTCTCGAGTCTCTCGAGTACAGTCAATTTTTGACTCTTCTTCGCACACACGCATTTTATAACCTATCTTCTCTCGTCTTCGTTCGCGGACACACGTCTCTATATACATGTATATATATTCGCACACAGCAGCAGCAGCTCGAGGCAGTGAGCAATCAATCGGGCATGCACGCGAGCGCGGAGCCTTTTACATATGCACAACGGCACATATATTCGTATATCGTATGTATTTGCCACACACAAGCTCGACGCCTATGTATACATACACGTATCGATGCACGTATATATACAAATATTATGCGCCGAGAGGCATGTGCATCATCGTCTATCTCTATATACACCTATGCAACATCGCCCCGAGATAAGAGGACGAAACGTCCCGTCGTCCTTCTCCTCATCCTCGAGAGGATATTATAGCTCGACGCGGACCAAGTTAATGACGTCACACCCAAGGGAGAGAAATCCTACCCCTACAGGCGCGCGCGACCTCCTGCAATTAACGTCTCGCTTTTCCTGTAACGATAGCTGGCACGCTTCGTTTTTCGAACGCGTGGAAATTTTGACGACGATGATGATAGCGATGCCAAAAAAACGGAGCAGCAGCCCCCGCGAACGCGCGCGAGCTGCAGCACATCGCATCGCGGGCAAGACAGCAGCAGCGACGACGACGACCAAGGAACACCGCGTGCATGTGCAGAGAGAGATCGATAATTTCGTTTCGCAGTCAGCAGGGCCTTGAAGTGAAATGCACAGCACATTAACACACATTTATACACAAACATAGAAACACACGGCTGCTCCCGTCGCGGATCATCGAAAGCAATGATTATACTTTTGAATTCGCAACGGTGAATGAAAGAAAAAAAACAGAAAAAAGGAGAAAGAAAAACAAGAAAAGAAACTATCTTTTTTCTCTTTCAAGGTCAACGCACGAAGTAGCGCGACGAACGCGCGAATTTCTTTCTACGTTGTCTTCCTCTGCCTTTCTATTTATCCTTTTTTTATCTTTATTTTTACTTTTGCACAATTTCCATTATTCTGATTATGCGTTTTTTTTTTCTCTGTTACAGCCGTGTTACCCTGCCCCTCACTGTTGAAGAGGTATGTATACATGTCGGCCTAAGTGTTCAAGGTCTAGGTCTAGCTGTCAATAGTATGTTTGGTTCCAATGAGATTGCACTTATTGCATTGCAATTCATCTAACAACCATTTATTGCCTCGGTATAATTAACACTGTTAAATCTAACTTGTGAGTCATTAGAAGCCTCCCACTTAGTGTTACATGTTCAAAAAATCTTAGAAAATAGCAGATGTAAGAATACTTGGATTTAAATTTTGTTTGTGGCTAAATTCTCATTTAGAGCAGTAGAAACTTATGTTGGTTCATGGTTTCAATCATATGCACAAATCTTTGAAAAATGACTGATGAGTCACTGCCCAATTTTATCTTAATGGAACAAAACATTGATAATATCCATTTGGAAAAATTTCTAAATGATGATTCTACTAAACTGGTTAATGTATTTACTTTTTTTTATTGATTCACAGTACCAAGTAGCTCAATTGTACTCTGTAGCAGAGGCAAGTAAAAACAATACAGGAGGAGGTGAGGGAATAGAAGTTTTGAAAAATGAACCCTTCACAGACTATCCTTTACTTGGAGGAAGATATTCCACCGGCCAATATACATATAAAATTTACCACTTAGCGAGCAAAGTGCCTGCTTTCATTCGTATGCTTTTACCTAAAACTTCTTTAGAAGTTCATGAAGAAGCATGGAATGCATACCCTTATTGTAAAACTGTTATTACTGTAAGTATAAATCTAAAAGAATACATAACATATTTTAAAAATTGTTATGAACTGGATGTTTGAAAATTTTCAGAATCCTGGTTATATGAAAGAAAACTTCATGATTGTAATAGAATCTTATCATATTGGAGATGTTGGTGATCAAGATAATGTAAGTTATAATTATAATATAATTCAAGTCAAATTATCTGTTATTTACATTATTTTTATTTTTATTTCAGGTTCATGAACTCCCTGCAGATAAGCTTAGAATTAGAGAGGTTGTACACATAGATATTTCCAATGATTATGTAGCTAGTGCAGATTATAAAGAAGATGAAGACCCTAGCAAGTTTAAATCTGAAAAAACTGGTCGAGGACCGCTGGTCGGCAAAGACTGGAAGCATTCTGTCAATCCTGTAATGACTTGCTATAAACTTGTTACCTGTGAGTTCAAATGGTTTGGTTTACAAACTCGTGTTGAAAGTTTTATTCAAAAATCTGAAAGGCGTCTTTTCACCAATTTCCACCGGCAAGTATTCTGCTGGATGGATCGTTGGCATGGACTCACTATGGAAGATATTCGTGCACTTGAAGATGCTACTAGGGAAGAATTGGATAGGGTATGTAATTTACTTATATTTGTATTCCATTATCAATTCAGTACATTGAATTAAAGGCATTTTTTTTTAATTAGCACATAATTTTTTGTTCTAATTCTTAAAAACTGTATTTTTTATTTGCAGCAAAGACACAAAGGTGAAGTACGAGGAATGCAAGCTGAAGTTTAAAGATCATACTAAAACAAGTTAATGATATTACTGAATTAAATTTCAAAATATTGCAAATGTCAAACTTATCCACCTAAAGAATTGTATAATTACACCTAAAGCCATAAGTGGTCCTGCCGGATCGGGGCAGTTTCCAGAGTTTTTCTCATCTAAATTCAGTGTCTACTTGCAACGTTACTTTTAATTGGTTTTAAAAAATTTTTAGATGAAATTATTGTCAGGAAATCTTATTGTATTGATAAGCCAGAGTGAGCGCGAGGCGCACTCCTCAATGATAATTAAAAGTAAAAATTTGAAGATACTGACAAAGACTTGAGGCAGTTATATGTTTTTAAAAGACTAAGTAAAGCATAAAGAGACGTTTAATAGAAATTCGAGTGGCGAGGGCTAAGTGAAAATGCATTCTAGATTATCTAAATGACTTAATCATTAAATAATCATTTGAAAAAAAAAAGTAGTCAATGACATTAGCTATTAATGGTTGTTAACAAGCAAAGAACACTTGCTTGCCGCAAACGCATAAGTGATAATTAATGAATGGTTACACTGAAAGCCCAAATTGTGGTCTAACATTGAATGTAATGAAACTATGTGTATTTTGAAAGTGCTAGTGTGTGATATGCAACAAAGTTACAAACTAAAAGTAATATGGTATAAAAGAAAACAAACAACATAAAATAATAATAATTATAATAATAATAATAATAATAAAAGCACTTAATTTCCTAAAATTTTGCGCCATGTCCTTAGAAAATTGCTCGTCATTTTTTTAAATATAAACCTTTTGTGTACTTTATGAACCGAGGCAATTCTAACGATGTTTTGCTCAGAATCTCGGATATAACCCGAATAATAAGTACACCTAAGTTATTCACTTGCATTAAGCATCTTTTATTGATCATTTGATCATAATATGGATAATGGCTTGTGCATAGAATAATTTTTTTTATTAAGCGTCGATTTTGTTAGAATATGAAAATTTCGAGTCTCAGTATTCGAGTATAAAACTAGACTACTGTTTCTAATGAAACAACAGTCATCATTGCTCAATGTAATAAACTAAATAACATATAGATGATATGTTTTAGACCTACATGTAGAAAGAAACTTAGACTCTGGATACCAGCGAAGTTTGGGCATTTAATTTTAGGATGTGTTGACTGTAAATAAATGATGCATACAATGAAATTCTATTACAACTTGAATGATTTCACATTAATATATGATTTCAATTATTTGAATAAATTTTTTTCTACTTACTTTGTACATTATTTTATGAAAATACAGTTTTGTTTATTCAAGTGAAAAGTTAAATTGTAGAAAGTGTACATAAATTTAAATGCGCCTAATTCGAAATCTCGGCTTTTTAAAGTCAGTTGCATTAGATATTTTAGATGCTTCACAATTAAATTTGCAAAGATGTTGATCATTTTAATTTTAATTGTATTATGACAAACTAATTCAATTACTCTTTTGATTTTGTTATCAATTGTCTTTTGCACAAATAAATCTGCAGAAATATAGATGCTAATGAAAAACGTTTAATAGATACTTTTGAATCAATAATACTTCTATATGTTACTAAGTGTCAAGGTTATAAAAGTGTTTTATCTAAAGTAACAATGGTTCTCAATACTTACGCGACACATGTTATCTTATTGAATTTCATTGTATGTGTATTCTAAAAAAACAACTATCTTACATGCTAATGGAGACTACTTGATCTAGTTATAAAAGTTAGTTGTTCCTTGTATTACACAGGGTTGAAATCCCTGTAGCGCTGCCAAAGGGCTCTGATCTAATATACAGACAAAATCTCAACATGTGGATGAATATTCTTAAGTTCATTCAATTTTGAATAAAAATGTGTACGTATATTCAAAGGGAACTTATGTTAATGTATATATGAGGAAATTTAGTATACATACTGTCAGTCATACAGTTGAATAAAACCACCAGATAATAATATATAAAATTTATTCATTTTTAGATTAGAAAAAATATATTAAAAACATCTTTTTTGTATAGAACATAAAAATATGTTGAACATATATTTACATTTAAAAACTAGGTCTGTATAAATATACCACTGCACAAGTCAAGTGCAATTTACATGATTTTACTTGTTAAAAGGTAATCAATCAACGATTTCAGAATTTTCATTATTAAAGATTACTTGTGGATATTAAAAATTCTATAAATTATATTCTTTAATTAGATTTCCTGCAATCACTAGTCTTTGAATCTCTGAGGTACCTTCATAAATTTCTGTTATGCGAGCATCTCTGTAATGACGTTCAGCTGGCATATCTGTCACATAGCCCATTCCTCCCAAAATTTGTATGCATTGATGAGAGCAGAATGTTGCAGCCTCTGAGGCAGATAACTTTGCCATAGCAGCTTCCTAACAGGGTCAAAATTGTTAATAACTCTATTTTAGAATGTATATAGAATTAAAATGATTGAAACTAACTTTGGTGTAAGGCTTTTTTTGATCTTTCAAATAAGCTGCTTTCCATGTCAAGAGTCGAGAACTCTCAATTTTCATTGCCATATCTGCTAATTTAACTTGGATAGCTTGCAATTTTAAAATCGAATTGCCAAACGCTGTTCTTTTGTGGGCATATTCTACAGCACAATCTAAAGAGGCTTGAGCAATTCCCAAGGCTTGTGAAGCTATTCCAATCCTTCCAGCATCTGTTGCATTAAATTTTATTATAAAGAAGTGATAATTTAGTATTTGTAAAACTATAGACTATAAATACATACCTAATGTCATCATTGCAATTTTGAAACCTAAACCAGGTTCTCCTAAGATATTTTCTGTTGGTACATTACAATCTTCAAATATAAGAGAACAAGTGCTGCTTCCTCTAATTCCCAGTTTATCTTCTTTTTTGCCAAGTGAAAATCCATCCGATGGCTTATCAACTATGAATGCACTTATTCCCTTGTGCTTTTTGGACTTGTCCGTTGTAGCAAAGACTATAGCTGCTTTAGCTTCAAAAGCATTAGTGATCCAAGATTTTGTGCCATTGAGGACAAATTTATCACCATTAGTTTTAGCAGTAGTCGATGCAGCACCAGCATCCGAGCCATTGCCAGGCTCGCTGAGGGCAAAACAACCAACTTGATCACCACTTGTAAATGGAGTGATGTACTTTTCTTTCTGTTTGTCATTGGCAAACTGTTGTAAAGGTCCCAGGTATAAAGAATTATTCACACTCATTATCACTCCGGTACTTGCACATCCTCGGGAAATTTCTTCCATTGCAATAGCATAAGCCAAATAATCAAGGCCAGTTCCCCCTAAGGATTCAGGAACAGCCATGGCCATCAACCCAAGTTCACCCATTTTTTTTATTTGTTCTGCTGGATAAAGATGTTCTCTGTCCACTTTGGCTGCAATTGGCTTCAATTCTCCTTCTGCAAAGTCTCTAAGAAAATATATCGGAGTGAATATAATTTTTTTTCAATGCTTATTCTCATAAATTTCATTTATTAATATCGATAATTTGAAAGAAATTTGTTAAAAAATCGAAAAATACCTGCATGTTTTGTAGAGCATCTGATGAGTTTCCGACAGGGCCGAAAGAGAAGCTATATGTCGACGCCCGCATACTTTGGCCACTGCTCTTTGAAATCCTGTCAAAATTATATAATTTAAAAAAAAGTTCAATTAAACAAGCAATATTTTACACATTCCAAGACCAATCTAAAATTCTAAAAAGCTCGAAAAGCACTTGAATCGTCAGAAATATTTGTTATCTCATCGAGTATAATTTTGTTGATCACAAACAGATTGACCGTGACCAAGCGTTTTTTTGCGCCTCGATTTCTGTGAAATTATAATTGTTGCCTTCCTCTTACCCAACATTATGAGTAGTCCTCGGTTTTCTCAAAAAAATGAAAAAAAATAAAATAAAATCACTGCACACCGAATCGATTGTATACTGCACGGGGACCGGTACACTACGCTACAATATGCAGCGATATGTCACTACTACTGGCTCGAGTTCCAGGGAGCGACTCGACGGCATCCCCCGATTATTAAAAGCCGAGATCAGCTACGGCGGCTACGGCGGCGTCGGCTGTGTTTTTTATTATTATTTGCGCAAGTTACGGAGTTGAAAACACGCACGACGACGACGCCGCAGCAGATCGCATCTCATGTGTATTTCGTAATTCGCAGAGATCGCGAATATTTGCGTGACAGTAGCGAATTAATGAAAGTTTCCAATGTTCGCACAAAGATGGCATTGGCGCACCGGGAATTTCGTATTTTTGATTTGGAAATTACAAAGACGAGGCGAAATTTTAATGGCGAGAATTTAGATTTTGAATTTCATTGTGCTGATTATTTGTTTCATCCATGATGGTCCCGTGATAAAAAAAACTTATTTTTTTTCACAAGATTTCCGCTGGATGAAGAAAAGTTTACTGGTATTATTTTATTTATTGTTAATATAAAATTTGAAGTATGAAACATCTGAAAATAAAAGCCACAAACGGTCAAGCTCCTGAATCATATGGACACATTATCATTTACGCTGTAAAATTTATACAGCGAGCTTGCAGTACAGCTACAGGACAACATAGAGTGCACAGCGCGCGCGGCGAAAAATCAATAGAGAAGCAGCAGCAACTCGGGCCACAGAGAAAGAGGCAGCAGCAGCAGCAGCAGTAGCTGCGCTCTGACACGCATGCACGCCGGGCTGCTTGTCGTTCGATAGGCGCTGCTGCTGCTGCTGCTGCAACTCGCCACACACACTCAGGACATACAGTACAGTCACTGGAACTGCAGCAGCGAGAGCAAAAGCTGTGCTACCGTCTGTGCTTGCGAATATAACATACGTTAAGAAGCCAAAAAAAGCTCAACAGCAATAGCAACGATGTCGAGTGGCAAGAGCACCAAGCCGGCTCGCAAGCTGCCGCCCAAGGAGCCCAACGAGATGACCCACGGCGAGAAGCTCAAGCTCATCGACGACGAGCTCAACGCTTTTTACAAGTTAGTTTGTGCATATTATGAGCTTTTTATGAATAAAAAATGGGGATTTTTAAAGCTTGTAATTTTCCGGTTCATTGACATTTCTCGAAATAAACGAATGCAAACTCGAAAAAGATATAAAAAAATAGTTATATACCATCGATTGTATGGCCCATGGATACACATAACTCACGGTTTGGCGCGCGCCGAGCTTATCTTTCCGGACCACTCGTGAGCCTCTCCGGCAGCACATATTTCCGCGAGTTTCTTCCGCGCGATATCTCTCAACGAGCTTCCACACGACGACAAAAATAAAGGAGAAAGAGAATCGTATGATAAATCACGTATTATCCGCAGATATTGTCAACAAGCCGGATTTACCGAGGAGGAGATGGACATCATCTGCCAGCCGCTGGTGGCGGCGATGCGCCGCTCCTGGCTGCAGCTCGTCTTTCAGGCGACCCTCGTGCTGGTCGCACTGGGCACACTGTGCTGCCTGGCGGCCCAGCTCGACTTCGTCGGCACCCACTTCAGCGCCATCGGCCGCCTCTTCATGATCAAGATGCTGCCCGTGTGGAACTGGCAGCCGCTCTACTACGAGAACTGCATGATGAACAATCCCTTCTACAACGACTATCATCCCGTCACGGAGGAGGATTGCGTGGTCGGTTCATCGTCATTGTAAAAGAGATATGCGAATTCGAATGATGGGGATTTTTTTTTTACGCAGGCCTGCGAAGCTTTGGAAACGATCGATCGGCAGTCGGACGTGCGTTACCGTCAACTGGTCGACAATTATCTGAATCGCGACGCGCCTGTCATCATTACCGACGCCATGAGCTCCTGGGCCGCCATGAACACGGACTTTTTCTGGTTCGACAACATCACCCACGTTAGTACACTCAACGCATATCAATAATTATAATTAATCAATCTCCACACGGCGATCTCAATCGGTTTGACCTCGAATCGATTCGGCAACAAATTTGTGTCTGTATATCCGTAATCAGCAACGTCGTCTACGTCGTCCTGTTGCAGCTGTACCTGGAGAACGAGCGACTGATGGAGACGGTGCCCTGCGCCCTCACCTCGAATCTGCGCACCGGCTCGTCGGATCTCGCCGCTTTTCTGCGCCGCGTGCACACCCCCGGTGTGGCCAAGTGGTTCGTGCACTGGCAGAACTGCGACATCCAAGCGGTCAAGGTGCTGCGCAAGTACTATCAGCGCCCGTACTTCCTCTCGAGCACCGTGTCGCCGGCCCACTTCAACTGGGTCCTCATGTCCTCGGACTACAGCAGTCCGAATTACAAGCGGGTCGAGCTGGATTCCGGCCTGATAGCCCTGGCGCAGTTCCGGGGCGCCACCCAGCTACGCCTCACCCCCATCAATCCCTGCAACAGCTCCTGTCCCGAGCTCATAGCCGACTTGCATCAGGGTGAAATGCGTAAGTACGAATCGCTAATGTGGGACTTACTTTGCGTAATTCATTTTTTGATCCTCGTTTTCGACAGTGGTATTCACGAATCTCATGTGGCATCTCGAGTACGCGCCGATGCGAGGACTGGACAACATAGCCATACTTACGGAAACCGTCTGGGAGGAAGATACGTAAATGGGCTGTGCGTGCCGAGTCGACCAGTTTTTCTTCCATTTTTTTATTGATTTATTATTGTAATCTCGTCTATGAAATAGCGGATGAAATAAAGTATTCGTATTGTCGTTCAAGAAAATAAAAACTATTCAACCGACTGAAATAAAAATTGAATCAATTTACTTACCCTTAATAATTATAATCAAATTCAAAATTAATTATATTTCCATGCTCTTTGAAATTCGAAATAAGTGAGAAATCAAAGTACAACAAGGAGCGTTAGAAGTAACAATAGACAAGATTCGTCTTTTTTTTATTAAGTAATCATTTCATCATAACATGTTATTCTTTTTGTTTTATTTAATCAATCTCTTTCTCAATATTTTTTCTTGATTTACTTTATTTTTGCGACTCGTCGCACGATAATCACTTTTTTTTTCATGATCCTCTCACTTTTTATGTAACTCATTGGATTTACTTTGACTTGATGTTTCTTAGGGTTTTTATGTATGTCATAGCGTTTCGATCGATTGGTCGTCGCTTTGTTTGTAATAATAATTAACGATTAATGCGTCGATTGTTGATTTTCTTTTGCCTTCAAATTTCTCAACGCACAAAACAGCATCTTCGTTCATTATTATTCACATTTTATATTTTTTTTCTTCGTATAATTACGTCGCTTTGTCAATTATTTTTTCATCAGTGAGGTGAATGAGGAGAGGAAAAATCTATAGAAGAATCAATAATTTTTCAACGAGTACAGAAAGAGATCAAACTTATCTCTCCTCGAGCAAGTTTTCCACTTGAGCTTTCAATATGTTTTTCATCCCTTCAATGATAATAATATAGAGCCATCGAATGCGTCGGATACATACATTTGTTTTTTTTTCAATACATATATTATAGGAAACGTAGCTGGCGAGATTCTCTTATACTTGTTTACTTTATTTGATATGGTGTGGATGCGATACGACTTAAGTATCCCAAGATGAATCTAAAGTATATGAATTTATGATAATCAGTTTCGCAGTTACAGTTGATTCATTTTTTTTATTTCTTAACTTATTTTTCACGAGTGCACATTGCTTATATAGTTAATGTTGTGGGTGTTTATTTTTCTTTTTTTTTCATTTGTTTCACTGATGGATTTTTATAATTCATTATTATTATTAACCATATCTACGAGCTGGCATTATGTATAACGTTCAAATGTAAACAGGTGTGACCATGATTCCTATTGAAATGCTCTATCATTGAAGTAGGAAAACTAGATTATCCTTTAGGAAGTCTGATGCAGACTGTCAAAAAATTTTCTTTTTTTTTCATATAATATGTACTTGTTATATTCACAAAAAGCTGATACGGTTATACACAATATTTGTTATGTATAAATTACAGCTTCCGATGAGCGATGCAATTTTTTAGAGCTACGTGCTATAGTCATTTGGTCAATGAAATTATTACAAAATGAATATTATATGAGTACAGATAAATAAATTTTGTGACATATTTTTCATATTTGCTGAATTTGATAGAATCCGATTTAAATTACCTTATTGAACATTTGTTTTGATCGTTTTTTCTTCAGATTTTATACCATGTTATAAGATATTGAATTATTTTTGCGGCTAAAATTCTTTTAAAAAATTGATCTAGCTACGTTTTAATAGAATGCTTTACTTATTTTGAAGTTTGTCTCAATATAAAATCTAATCAATACCTTTCTTATTTATTAATTTTAATAGTATTATAGATGTGTAATAAAGCAGTAGAGCCATTTTCACAATAAAATTGAACTCAACATACCTGCTTTACTACCAAAATGATGTCATTAATTTCATCGGTAAATTAGTAGTCTAATAAGCTCCGCTCAAAAAGCCATACTCGTTTCTAATCGGATTGTTTATCAAATGAAAGATCAAGTAGCTCAAATATTAAATATTAATTAGACGTAGAATTATGAGGAAAGGTTTCACTATTCAATAGTTTATGAAGGCATAATTGAATACCAGCAAATCATCCACTTTCTTGAGGATTGCACATATCTAAATTTACATGCAGTTTAACAGTAGTACAAAAATTTTTTTTTTCGTTATTATAATACTTGAACAATGATTCTTCATTTGGGTGTTCGGTGTAAGATTCGAATTTCCAAATTTCTTTTAAAAAATTATAAATATATATTTATATCGTGACAACATTTTACTCGTCCCAGGTTTTTTTTTTCCTTTAAATTATAGAAAGACGACAGCATTAATTTACGAAACTACCGGCGTACACGATTTCTTTTTGCAGATTTGAAAAATGACACGTGAGTTTATGACACTATATTATATTATTTAATTATTACCGTATCGTAATTTACAATTTTGAAAGTATACTACCCGTCATTCAGGACGTTCGATCTCACCAATGAAAAAAATATTAACGACAACAGAAACGGAAAAGTTTTTGCTATCAAGCTCGAAAGTCCTTCATCAAGATTGGTTCGATTAATAAGTCAAACACGCAGTACTGGTTTCTGAAAACTAAAAAAATCATGATAAAATTTAATCGCAAAGAAGGTAAAAGAACAGAAGTAATAAAATAAAAACAAAACGGTTCATGTTATAATTGTCTAAGATTTTATTAATTTGATGATAAATGGTGCCGACATTTGAGCGTTAGTATATACAACGACATATATTACGACTCAAAATAACTTGCATATATAATTGTGGAAATAATGTTCACTTTTCATTTGTGTACGTATGTAGCGTCAAAAAGTTGATCGAACGTCTCATGAAAATTGACGAGGATTCTCCCTTCAATACACAATGCGTATATGTACTGATTTTTTTTTAGCATACATATACATTGGCTTGTGATTTAGCTGTGGTATATTTTATTGAGATCATGTATACATATTTATGGTTTACCAGCTTATTTCCTTTTTTTTTTATTATGCACACATTCATTCAAACTCCAAGCAGCAATATTTGGTTTTGATAATTACAACTTATCGATCGATAATCAATTTGCGTATTTCTTTGAAACAAGAGTCGTGAAAACCAACATCATCATATACTTTTATTCTCACTTATCCTTACACTTTAAGAAACTTTCAGCGAGATGATCATCGAAGCCTATTAGTTGTTCAAACATTTACCCCCCCTTTAAATCGCCGGCGAATTTCAAATGTTTCTATTTTTCTTTTATCTTAAATGATCATTATATTTATACCCTCTTGTTTGTTCTTTCAATAATAATTTCATATGCGTACGTTATACATATACTGATCATATTTTTTCCCACCGTGATTGTTCACTCTGGGCAAATAATGACTACGGCTTTAGAGAATATTTTGTACAAAATGCGATACAAGTAGCGATGTAACAACAATTTTTTGCAATAGTTAAATATATATATACGTATGTATAATATGTATAATGTGTATACGTTTGTATGTATATATTTATATATTTTTTTTTATTCATATGTATATATTTATATATTTTCACGAATATAGCTTTATTTATATTACTTTGAAATCGTCTTCTGTCATATGTATATATAAATCATTTGAATTTTTCATTTTATTTATATAATAGGTGCGTGCGTAAACGACCGCACAAACGTATCGCAGTTGATGATCGTTTGTATAGACTAAATATATATTTATGTATATATTTAATATTAAATTTTATTTATACTTAACGGGATCAATCGATCGAAAACTTCACTTGTCAATAGATTTTTAACGTCATTTTTTTTTCTTTTTTAAATTATCATCAACTTTGCAATGTAGATTTTTCATACGCGTCGTGCCGTACATTATACGTAATCAATTCGCGATTTCGAAGATATTTGATATAAATAAAACTATCCGACCAAAGGATTCGATAAATTCACTTTTTTTATGATAACATGATGATATTACATTTAACATTCATTTCGAGAGGTCAATTACAGAAATGATTTTGTTTCGTATCATTATTGTTATTATTAATGTTCACTTTTATCGGAAATTTGACACCTTTTTAAACACTTTTGCACACGCGTTAACATAAACATACCTTAGCTATGCACTCGCTAATTATAAAACAATCAAACACAGATTCGTGTGCCAAACTTCATCATAACATCACATTGTTGTTTTATTCTAATTTTAACGTCAAAACAATTCTTTGCTTCATATTACACATACTGTATCGCAGGAAAAAATTATTATCGTTACACACATCTAACATATGTACTATTCATTTGATTCAATACCTATTACGATAACACAACATATCTAGCACAACAATTGTTTTAATAAAATGTACAATATAATTATTTTTTTTATATAAGAACTATACAATTTTTTTTATCAACGTAACACAATAAAATTATTTCGTATAGAGCTCTGCGAAGTTTTCGAAATGTTTTAAACAAATTTACCTCTGGAATAAATCTCGGACTAACCGGAGACTATAATAGTATTTATAAGATAAGGTTTTCTCCTAATGTGTATCAAGTTTATATATTACGCTTCTTTGCTCTAATTTTCCGCTGAATATTTGCAGCTCGTTTTCGTTTCGACCTAATAATTTTATATTCAAGAGATGAGAAGTAGATAGAAAAATTTGCGCTAGCGAAAGTTTGTAAAGGCATTCGTTGACGCGATCAAGAGAGAACAAATATTCCTCGTTCGAGTAAATAAATATCATATTGAGATTTAATCGTATTCACGTACTATATTTTTATGTATTGTATTGTAGTTTATATATTAGAAGCGGAGAGTGACGTCGCCAGCCTCGTCGATTTTTCCCCCTCATTCGCCCGCGCGCACATCGTTTAACACGTCTATTCAACACGTATTTTTGCATTGATATTTCATTTGATTATACTTATTTTAACTTGTCCATACCGATACACGTGTACTTTTATTTGTTATTACGGATATAGCTTTTTTATTTACTTTTTTTTTTGGTATTGTTAAATTATGAGTTACCAAGTCAGTCGTCGACACTCGAAGAGGGACACACACACGAATCAATTCGAAACAATTATACATGCACATACGTATTACATGTGTACATGCAGATATATATAAATGCTATGATATATACTATATTTATATTCTTAACTGATAATACATCATGTTTATACGCTTTATACTTTTTTTTGTTTTTGTAAATACAATAATGACAATTATTTAGTAATGCCATTTCGCATGAATAATTAGTACGTGATATATCCATGCCTTGTATATAATTAAATTATTTGTATTTGCTGACATCATTTTTTTTAACTTTATATTTGAGATATGATTATTGTTTGTGTCAGGTTTTGAGGTATCTCAAGGCACGCCCGCCTCTCGTTCGTCGTACTTCTTCAATTTTTTTTTATCTTTTGTTTCTATTTATTATACCTCTAGAATATGTCACATTCTAGTCAATAACTACAGTGAAACGTCCGTCCAACGTGTCAATATATTTTTTCATATATTATTATTTTATATCGGCCCCCACATGTACGTTACGTTATTTCGTAACATTTTTTTTTTTTTTTTGATGCGATGATTCACTTTGGTATAGATATATTAAAGAATCCATTATTTGCATGTGAAGCTGCATTGCGCTTTAATAACCTTTACACGTCTCAATTTTAGCATTAAATTTTTTATGAATGCTCAATGGAGCTCTCTACGTTGCCTGGATCGCGACTTTTCATGTGTACACAATTTTTTTTATGCTTCCTAACTATCTTTGCGTATTAAGGACTAATTATTAAATGCGATATACTTACAATCGATTGGTGAATGACGAGCTCTCGGTATTATATGCATAAACATGGGTATTTTTTTTTCGTTATTCTATATTTTATAATACTATAATATATATTTGGTTGCTTATAGTCGATCAATAAGTATCAGTCGGTGAGTAACGTATAAAATAATAAGTCGTCATTACATCTGTGTACATGGTTGACTCTCTGTCAAATCGAATAGCCTAACTATATTTTTTAAGTAGTTGTTCCAAACACACAACTTAAAATCGAATTAGATAAAGCTTTTCACCAAAAAATAATTCAAAAAATACTTTCTAAATTTTTCGAATTTATTAATAAACTCTCAAAGAATTCAGATTCATTGAAAAAGAGCCAATCTGGGACTTTTAAAAAGAGTTCTTAAAAGGACCCAAAAATTCTCCTGAAATTCAGGTCATTTCTAACGTAAGAAAAAAAAATCTTTTGACCATTCAATTTGGCAGAAAATAGACCACGTACATTCGTGTGTGTATATATTTATATGCAAATTAGATTCGCCCACTCGCGCGCGATTCGGTCTTACGTATATATATCCGTGGCAATTGCACATCGTTAGAATCGAGGTAGAGAGTAGGAAAGTGACACTTACGCGGAGGAAGGGTACTCGTTTCGCGCTCGTACACACACACACACACACGGACACACACCCTCGCGATGTACACTGCGGCGACGATTTTGCCGTTGTCGCTACCGCGCGCGTCGTTGTTGTTGTATATACACAATCAACGTCGTTATACCGCAGCAGCGACAACTCGTGCGGACGACTGCAGAGAGCCCCCGACGAAACTTGGCAGTTTTTTTTTTTTTTTTCATTTCTTTTTCCGTCATTTTAGAAGCAAAACGAGCCTCGCGGATAGTACAACACAACACCGGATACGCGTTTCTCTCTGGCTTTTCGAAATTTATACACATCGTGAGCAGGATATAGACGACGACCACGTATTGAATATTTAGTTAATATTTTTTTAGCATCAAGCTGCTTCTCGAATACAGCACCGGTTCGACTTTGAGCTTCCTGCATATATAAACGAGTTTATATGTATAATAATGTATGATTTTATATTATAATCTATATGCTGTATACGACGTCGCGCGATATATTTATCAATAATGACGATGATAGTTTTAATTTAATAAAATACAATATTACGTATGTAAATAACCTAATTGGCGCACGCAATTCAACGATTCGTGTAAGGTCGGATTAGCTTCCGGGTCGACGGCCAGGAACGCGATATGTCATCATTTTTTCATTATTATTTGAGTAGTCGTCGATACGCGAAACGCTAAAGTTATGATTATTAATAATACTGATCGGCAAACAAGCTTCGTTGGTCTTTCGCGCGCCCGCCGCTGACGATGATCCCGAGCGACGCGAGACGTGGTAGGCGCCGTCCGTCGTCGCATCGTCCTCGTAGTCGTAGTCGTCACACGGGCCGCGCGTGGCTCGAACTCACTTCCCCAGACCGAACTTCATGAAGATGAGCTCCTTGCCTTTCGACAGAATGTCGCCGCCGGCGCTGGCCCCGGCCATCTCCGTGAACTTCTGCATGAGATTCGGCCCGCCCGCGCCCGGCTGACCCGGCTGGCCCGGCTGGCCTGGCTGACCCGGCTGGCCCTGCTGCATCTGCTGCGGACCGCCCATCGGGCCCATGCCCTGGGCGTTGGGTATGACCGCGGGCACGCCGCGCATCATCTGCGCCTTAGTCGCCTGCGGGCCCTGCTGCATTCCGCCCATCATTCCGCCAGGGCCCTGCTGGCCCATCGGGCCGTACGGGCCTTGCTGCTGTTGCTGCTGACCGGGGCCCATAACCTGCTGCTGGGGCCCCATTCCCTGCTGGCCCATACCCTGCATACCCTGCTGCTGGCCCTGCGGGCCGTACTGGCCCTGGGGGCCCTGCGGCCCGAAGCCCTGGCCGGGCATCTGGCCTTGGAAAGATCCGCGCTGGCCCTGCTGCTGCTGGCCCTGCTGCTGGGGGAAACCACCGGGGCCCATTTGGCCCGGCTGCTGCTGCTGCATTTGGCCCTGCTGCATAGAACCTTGCTGCATCTGGCCCTGCTGGCCCATAGGGCCCATTTGGCCTTGCTGCATGGATCCCATCTGGCCTTGCTGCATGGCTCCCATCTGGCCTTGCTGGCCCATGGGGCCCATTTGGCCGGGGCGCATAGGGCCGCCCGGGCCCATTTGGCCCATTTGGCCCATTTGGCCCGGCATACCCCGGCCTCCCTGCTGCTGCATTTGGCCCGGCATACCCTGCGGGCCACCCGGCATGCTACTACCAACGACCTGGTTGGGCCCGCCTCTCCCCCTCCCCTGTAAAGTGAAATCGGAAAAGCATTAGCGTATTTTTTTAACTTCAATCGATGCAAACATCCTACTTAATAATGATAAACATATTTTGGAACTGAGTATTTGATCTTATCCAATTAATTGGGGAAAAGTATGTTAGTACATAAACCAAATTCTTGTTTTACTAAAAAAAATCTCTACATTTCGTTTGCAATGTTCCAAAATAAGTTTTTATCAATATTAATTGGAAAACTCCACATGATGATCAGCTATTGATACAGACGGTTTTATGCTTTTCTATCCTAAATAAAAGTATGCTTGTATAATGCTTTGGTATATCAATTCTGTCAACTATTCAAAAAAGTTTTATTATTTTATTTGCTCGATGACGCAAATTTCTAAGCTATAAGCTCTAAAATTGATAACAAAGGTAATATTAGCTAATGTGTCATATAGCTTTATCTACACAAAATGATTATTAGGCGCCTGAAAAAGTTATTCATCGAATTCTGCTTCATTTGTCATGAATTCGGGTACAGCAAGGCGGACAACTGTACGAGTTAGGCATGTTGCTTCGTTTCGATCTAATTAAAAGTTGTTAATTGAACATAAAAAAATAATAACTATTATGTTGTATATTGAAAAGGTCACTTTTGTGTACTTTGCAGTAAGCGTAAACATTTCATCTACCTGATAGAAGACAGAGAAGGAATAACATCCAGTTAATCAAGAAATCAGTCCAAATTCTTTTATTTATTGAATATTAATTAGTATATTAACGAGGTTAAGAATTAAGATTGATTTTTGTCTATGAAAAAAATTTCTATTGGGCTTTTCATGTAACCGACTAAATTAGAAGCACAACAAAATGTCATTATACTCATTCTATGTTATAAAAAACCTCTACATGACCTGTAAAGTAAATTATGTTATATTTCGATGATACTACTCGAGTCTTCGAATGTAACAACGAAAACCATGCAAAAATTTGGCAATCTTGAGTTAGTCCTGATAAATCAGACATATATTTTTCGTCATAGACCTTTACATGCTTCGTCATTTGTCGCAGGTTTCGAAACTTAAGTGAGCAATTTGATGTACTATGTAAAGCACAAACTACGTATATTTTAGACACCATGTGTTATCACAATAAGTACATAAGACACAGCAAAAGGTTAAAAAAAAAATAAACAAACAAACAAAACGGTCAAAAATATCGAGCACAAAAATAGGAGAGTTCATCCATTGAAAAATGTATATAGCCTTTGAGCACAAGAGCTGTAGGAAATGTTGTATTCCAGAAAAAATGCATAGTACCAGTTTATACGATAAGTTACAAAGGTATCATAGTTATGTGGAGGATAGATTGAAACGAACATAGAAAGAGAGAGAGAGAGAGAGAGCAGTTTTTCAGGAAGTAATGTGCACTTACCTGCTGTTGCATGTGGGGTGGCATTTGGCCGGGCTGATGGGGACCTTGGGGACCCATGAGCCCGCTTTGATTTGGAGGTAAGCCTTGACCGTACTGATTGGACGTGTAGTTGTTGGCTTGTTGGTACGCTAGATGCGGTGAATTGTTTTGTTGATATTGTTGTACTTGATGTGGTTGTACTTGATTAGTCATTAGTGGTTGTTGTAGTTGTCTAAAGTCTAAGTGACAGACAGGGACAGACACAGGCACAATGCAGGCATCTAGCAACAGAGACTTAGTAACCGAATCGTGTTGCCATGTGCACTGTGGCGCATCCACTCCCGCGGCTTTATATTTATCTTTTGCTTTTATTGTACTTTTGCCTTTTACTCATGCCCATTCGCGGCTTGTATTATATGCGTCGGCAACGTATATGTATATATTTCGTCAGGATCAACTTGACTTTAACACGTTGTCATTCATCAGCGTGTAAATTTTTTTCTTTTTTTTTTCAATTAGAGATACAGCTTTGTAATTAAAGTTATTATGCACGTGAATGGCCAGCATGACAACACGACACGAACGACAATCTTGTGACACGACGACCATCGACCAGTTCAGGCACACAGAGATGACAAATTATTTGCCGGTAAATTTTTATATATTTATATATATATTTTTTCTTTTTTCATTTATAGAGAAGCAATTTCACATATGGTTGATATATATAAATATATAGAAAAATATGATAAAATAGTATTTTTATGTACTATCAGCAATTTGCCGTTTAGAAAAAGGAGGCATTTCAGTAATGATAGTTGATTTCATGTATCAAAATCAATTTTTTCTAAGTTTTTATACGTAGTAGAAAGAGGTACATAATATACATTTGCAAAAATACATATTATATATTTATGTACGCTTATAAAATATAATAATATGTAAAAAACACTATATATGAATATAAAACAGTCAATATATTATATATATATTTATATATATATAAAGAGAGAGATAGTGTGTGAGAGAAGTAATGGAGCTGATAGCGCTCTTATAGAAATAGATAGATGTAGAGACAGACAAATATATAATATATGTATATAAATTATATATATATAGTTAATATAGAATATACACTGAAAGCAGCTTGGTGTTTGTTGCAATATATAAAGACAAGTGTGTTGACCTATTTTCATTGTATATTTATGACATATTCACGTAAAACACGAAATCAAATGAATAAATAAATGCCAGTGAAATTTATTCTTTAGTTTCCATATAACACATGTCTTGATTTAAACCTGCGGTTCGAGTACTAATAACAAACGCGCTATAATCTCAAATCATCAGTTTACGTTCATCTTCTATTCTTTCCAATGATACATCGATTCCAGTGTTTTAATTTAAAAACAAAAAAACATGTACAAAAGAGAACGACTAGAATCAATCGATCAAATAAAACCATCGAGCATCGTGTGTTATGATGCTCGTGTGCGATTAAGAATTCTCTCGCTTCGGTCACCAGTCGATGGCCACAATATATTTATGAATGACAATGAAACAAACGTTCTCTCTCTTGAAAACTGCGATTACTTTTTGAATGATATTCAAAAAATATTATTTATTATTATATACGCGTTATACAGCATTTCAGCCAAATTTCTATACGAGTACACATGTATATAATAATATTAAAAGTGATATCGATCGTGTGACTTTAAAAACATCGTCCAATACAAAAATATATATTTAATATAAACAGATGCTGTTGCTCTTTTGGGTTCGATGATTGCATTGTGTTGTGTGGAATAATATAATAATAATAACTCGTGAATGCAGAAGAGACGCATACACACACGTAAATATATAGTCGGTGCCAAACACGATCATATCCCAAAATCTCAACAATTGATTTTTGCAATAAACATCCATTGCTTTTTTTAATTGATTGGATTGAAAACGTGATAGAAAAAATGAAATAAAACAAATCATCTGCGTCATATATACGTGTGCCGAAATCGTCTCTACGGCACGTCATGAGTCGCGCGTCGTGTTTTGATCATTTCGTTTGTTCGTTTACGTATCCCTTTCGGCGAAGAATCGATCGTATATAATATACGCACGCGTATCGCAAGTCGCGTGACCCATGATGGGCATTCGAAGCTCAAATGTATAATGCTCATATAATATTGTAAGAACGGATCGATTCCTTCGTCATACAGCGAGACAGAGCCGAAATGGATACGGAACAAACGGAGCACACAAAACACAAGTGGGGGGGCGAGTCGTGAAGGGCGCTCAAAATTGTCACGTCAGTCATATATATTTTCTTATATAAATATATACAGTCCTGGCAGTTGTCAGTCAGTTCGTCAGTGTGTGTTTGGTATATATTTGTTTAAAAACTATATTACCTTTGTTACGACGATGCTGACCGGGCATCTCGCGAGGGGGCGGAGGCGGGCCCCGCACTCCAGGCCCCTGCGGGCCCATCTGTCTTCTGACGCCGGGCGGCATCTGGCCCTGCATGCCGCCCTGCATGCCGCCCTGCATCTGGCCGGGTAGCTGGCCGGGACCGCCGGGAGCCTCCTGCAGGAAGTTGCTCGGCACGAGGCCCCGCACCCCGTCCAGCTCTCCCATGTAGAAGCCGTCGTCGTCCATCTCTCCGTAGACGTAGATCTCGCTGCCCGTGCGAAAACTGAGCTCCACTTGCTGCGTGGGCGAGCAAAAAAATCGTCGTTAATATCCACGAAGAAAGACTGCTTACGAACGCGATCGCGAAATTGAAAATCGCGTTACGCGCGTACCTCGGCGTCCACGTTGGGCGACAGCTCTTGCGGATCGTAGTCGTACATGGCAATCATCTTTTTCACGGGCATGTTGGCGTAGATGTCGCCCCAGCGATCGTTGGCCCCGCCGGGTCCGCCTCGCCTGACTCCGGCTCCGCCGATTTGCTGCTGCTGCTGCTGCTGGCCGCCCTGCAGCTGTCTTATCTGATTCGGATCGGTGATCTCGTCGACCATGTTGTGCGGTACGTAGCCTCGTCTGCCGTGACACTCGCCCCAATAAAAGCCATCGGCGTCTTTGTCTCCAAAAACCTGTATATATCGTATTATACGTCAGAAATTGCCAACTTGGTAATATCGTCGAATTTCGCATATAACTGCGAAATGTGATATTTGTAATGCGATTTCCGTACCTTTATGATGTCGTTCTCATTGAAAGGCAGCTCCTCGTCGCAGGCATCGGGATTTGGTGACATTGTCATTGGATCATAGTCAAAGAGAGCAACGAACCATCTAAGTCTTTTATTAGCCTGCTGCATGGCGGGCGAGCGATGAGGTCCGGCTTGGGCTTGGTTCATCGGACCAGGGCCTCTGTACATGGGTCCTCCTCTTCCCCTTTGATTGCCTGCAAATCAAACAACACCAGCTGTATAATTAAGCCTCTGCCGAGTTACTGGCGTGCACGTAAGATAATGGCCATTGAAAATCACAAAGTGGGTAGACTGATTATGACGCGGATTTATATATAATTATCAAAATTTATATATAATCATTTCGTGGTGTGACGTGGTGTGTGCTTTCCATTATTACTTTTTTTTTCAATGCTTAAAATCCAGTCGATCGGTAACACAGTGTAAGTTCAAATTGGTGAGTCGTGAGCGTGTATGATACATTTGTTATTCTGGACAAATATATGTGTCACAAACCAGTACCGACGTTTTGTAGTTGTGTGCTATTTTTGCAATGCTCTCGCATGTGGAAAACTCGTCGCTTGTAATTAATACAATAAATTCATATTTTATTCATGTCAATAGCGCAGCATTCGATCGATATTGAATATGAATTTATTTTACAAAAAGTCTACACTCCAAACACAGTATTATAATTATACAACGACGACATTATAATTATAGGAAAGGAGAAACGACAACATTCATACATAAACACAAAATATATTATTTTGCCAAATGCTTCACGTGAGTATGTAATTTTAATAAATTTTTCTCAGATGCTGCGCAGATAGAAAATAGAAGTGAATGATCATTACGACAGAGAACACTTGCGTTTATGATAGCATTAGCAGCCAATGCCGAATTCCAATCAGAGAAAAAAGGCAAATATAGAATATTTAACAAGAAAATGTTCTGCAAAAATACGACAACAGCAATTATTTTAAGTATATATATAGACGAGAGTATAAGGACATGATGCAATTAAAGAGAAGAGCAAGTTGCAGCGTAAAAATTTAGTTAGAGAAGTTTTGAACTAATAATTTTCACTTAAATAGGAAGCGTTGACACACATCGACGAGAGAAAATGAAATTGTGCTCGTGAGTTTATGATTTTCCTCGAGAATTATAACGTTCATATGTAGTTTAAGCACAAAAATTCATAAATCGTCAATTTTAGAATATATATTTGAAAAACAAACACAACACACAATCGGAACACTTAAAAATATTTTGTAAAAGTAGATGATGCTTTGGCCCAAGATGAAGATATTATCTCTCATCGAGAGGCTATACAGACAGTATATGAACATATGTATATTAGTAGTAGAGGAAGAGAAGAGAATTTTAGAGGGTCGTTGACCAATGGACACGTGCAGAAAAAATCAGCAGAGAATCATAGACAGAGACAGATATGTGATTATTTTTTTTTTTTTTTTTTGATAGAGATAGACAATGATATTTTGAGAAAGAGAGAAAGAAGGGAAAGACATAAAAAATTACACACTGGTTGCAGCCTCCAAGTATATACTGTGCTATACCTTGTGGCGCTTGCTCAAAATAAGCTTCCTGCTGCGGCGGTCTAGGACCGCTAGATTGAGGTCTACGGACTTGTTGGCCGCCTTGCGCTGCCGCCTGAGCCTGGGGATGACCTTGACCCGAAGGTCCGTAACGTTGCTGCTGCTGCTGCTGTTGCTCACGTTGTTGCTGCTGAGCCTGTGCCTGTGCTTGTGCCTGTGCCTGTCTCTGTTGCTGTTGCTGCTGCTGTTGTTGCTGCATCTGAAGTTGCTGCTGCGACTGTGGCTGTTGTGGCTGCTGTTGCTGTTGCTGCGGATGCATACGTTGCTGCTGGGGTGGCGGCTGCTGCTGTTGCGGCGTTTGCGGATTTTGACCCATATTGTTATCGTGGGACGGCAGGCGGCCGGAAAAACTGTCGCGATCGGCGCTGATACGTCGAGCTGGTCCATTGTTGTTGTTGCTGTTGTTGTTGGCTCCGGGTGCGCCGTCCGCCTCGTCTTCGCTGTAGTTCGCCTCGCTCGCCGAGTCTTTCGTGATTTCAGGTACCCCTGCGCGATGCCAACACCCAATTTCTTTTGTTTTTGGCACGGTCGGGGGCAATCACGCTCGCGCGTGCATATTTAAGTATATTTCGTATACCCGCGATAGCGGGTGTACAAGGGGAAGAACGAAGGTGGAAGTGGGCGGGGGCGGCTTCGATACCGAACGAGAGATAGAGATAGATAGGTTCAAGGGTAAAGAGAAGCTTCGAGAGTCGGTTGCGTCGATATATATATATTACGGACGCACGGATCATATCCGTTTCTGCTAATTGTAATTGAAGCGACCTTGGAAGAGGTAGTTGGGAAAGAAAAAAGTACGGCTGTCCACCGGGAGTCTGTGTGACAGTGTATCTGTGTGAGAGAAAGCCGAGCACGGCGTCTGACCATAGGCCGACATTTACTACTTGTTTACTCCAAGAAACGGTTGATAGTATTTATTTGTACCGACTTTGAAAGAAATAAATGTTGTTTTTTTATACGTAATTAAGCCTACTTTTGACCATGTAGGGTCGTCGGGTATAAGTATAAAAAACGAGGACTTACCCATTTGACCAGGATAGATCTCTTTGTCGGACAAATTTTCGTCGGTCTCGATGATGGTTTGACCGTGGGCGTCCACCCTCATCGGACCCTGCCGCCTCATGTGCGGCGGTAGCTGTTGCTGCTGCTGCATTAGTTGTTGCTGCTGCATCATTTGCTGCTGATGCTGCATCTGTTGCTGCTGTTGCATCTGCTGCTGCTGCTGCATCTGTTGCTGCTGCTGCATCTGTTGCTGCTGTTGCATCTGCTGCTGCTGCATTTGCTGCTGCTGGGCGTTGGGATACCTCTGATTGAGCATACCACCCTGCATGCCAGGCTGCATGCCGACCTGCATGTTGCCCTGCATGTTGCCCTGCTGCATCATGCGCTGCTGCTGCTGCATCGTCGGATCCATCATTCCGGATTGATCCAGCTGCGACTGCATCTGCATCTGCATCGACGGGTCTTGCGGCAGCTGATGCATCTGCTGATGCTGGGCCTGATAGATCGCACCACCTGCGTGACGGAATTTCGTTTTTAGTTGAAATTCTTATCGGACATTTGGTATAGCGGGGGCTTGTTCGTGAAAAACGAGTGAGAGAGATAATCGTAGGAATTGAGACTCCTCAGAGACATGTTTGATTTTGAGCTTTTCGATACCATCGACAGATGGAGTATCGTAAATCCGCAAGTGACAAAAAATGCTCGGATTTGTATATATACGAAGCATTTTACAAAATTTATGTCGAATAAAATTTTTATAAATTATTTTTCTTTTCGATGATTTTTCATTGGCTATCCAAAAATGTGCAATTTGATAATTAAGCTGCAACACTACCGCGATCAATTATGCATACCAGCCAAGTAGTACAAGTCAATATTACGCCAAACCGCCTTTTGCTCGATCCGACAATCGAGCCGAATCAATTTCATTGGCTGCGAGCTCTATATACTTTGTAAAGCAATATTGTGTGTGGCGCGCATTATTATAAAATTAAGTGCAAAATAGACCATGCATAATGCAATCTATACGCCGCGATCATATCTTTACTACTGGCCATAAATAAGCCATTGTCGTCGAATTAATCCGTGCGCGCGCGCCATTGTATATGAATTATAGAGTGGGCCAGCGCGCGAGAACGTATATATAACAAAAGTAGCCCTCGTCGTCGTCGTCGTCGTCCCTCGCTCGCTCGTGTTCGTTCGCGAGCTAGGTAGTAGACTATAATGTACACGCGCGTCGTGTGTATACTTCACTGCTCCCCGACTCACACATGCACACAAACTGCGCAGACACACATCAACGCTTCAATATTCATTGAATTAGCGCGCGAAGCGGTATTTACAAAACTATCACGTGCATATCGCATCGCGAGCATCGCTATATATATATGTATATGCAAGCATACGTGTATGTACTCTAGCCGGTTAAAATAAATGAATTTTTACACGCCATAGTTAATCGTTAGGAGGGGGCTAGAGCGCCGAGGCAAAAGCAATTAAAATTCCGCACTTCTGACCGTATAAATACGCTCGGTTAAGATTTTCTATCTCTCGTCCGCCGCTCTCTCTCTCTCTAAACTCTATCTATGCCTCTCTCCCTCGAGAGAGAGAGAGAGAAGTAAAGAGAAAGAGGAGGGGAGTAAAAGAGAGACAGCGAGATTGAGTAAGAGAGAGAGAGAGAGAGAGAGGAGAATGAGAGTATATAAAGTTGATAAAATAGATGTGGAGCGGAAATGAGAACGCGCGAGAGGTGTGCTGCGTGACTGCAAGTCGGATAAACCTTCGAGCTCGCCTTTAACGTTTTAGGTCTTTTTGCTTCCACTCTATACTATATATAGAATACTACTATACTGGCCGTGTGCGCATGCAGCAGCCTGGCACAGTCTCTAGATATATATTTTCAAGCATCGGAGAATCTCCTTTAATATAATCTATAAGATTGCGTATAAAAATTTCATCTTCTTTTCATTTTTCATTTTTATCGTTTCTAATCTATGACACTTACAGGTACAATCGGTACCACGATTTTGTAACTATTTCGTGGCTCGTTACATCGTGTTCGATGAGTATAACGAGTATCGCCACATCTACGAGGTAAGTATAATTTTTGCACGTCCCACTTTTACTTTGTAATACGTGCCAATTTTATACGAAATTACGTTAAGTTTTTTTTTTTTAAACGATCGAGTATTATATTTATGACTCACCTCTGAGAACGCTGCAGGGTATCGCGGTGGCGCAGCTGTCGCTCGACTGGCTCTCTCTGCTCTTGGTCCTCACGGTGATGTGCTTGGGATTGAGGCCCATCAGTTTGTGTATGTCGACGAGCGCGTGATCGCCCGTGGGACTGTCGACGTCCGTGACCTTCTTGCCGTCCGCGTAGACGGCGTAGCCGGTGACTGCCGAACCGTGTAGGGCAACAGGCTGCCAGGTGACTAGCAAAGTGCCGTCCTGCGGTCCAGCCTCCACCTGAGTCACAGATACCCGCTCAAATGAGTGAGCCCCCAAACGCCTTATGGCCGGGCCCTTGGCTCTCTTACACCATTCGGATTTAAGCTTAAGGTTGTTTTTTTTTTATCGAGCTTCGACTGCCACATCGATTTCTCTTTCTTTCTCTTTTTTACGCACTCGTACACATACACACACACATACGCGTAAGGATTTTATCAAAACGATCTTTATTAATTTTGTCGTTTTTATCTCTCTTTCCTCTCATTTGGAAATTTCATTGTAATGCCAAATTAGCGGATTTTTCAATTCGGATTTCATACATTTATTCAAGCAAGACAGATCACTTTTTCGCACAGAGTACTTCGAGTACTACCTCTCAACAATATACACTATATAATTATTTGAAAAGTGATTTTGTGTGGTAGGAAAGTTTGAAATGGTGCAAAAAATAATTGCAGTTAATGTCACAAAAAAGCTTTCATTATATCAATGTATAACTAGGATGAGAATTATCTAAAATTAGTTATATATCGTTTATCGTTCAACGCTCTGAAACGTTATAAATAGTAAATTAATTTTAGATATTCCTGGTGTTTCCATGAGCTACGATTTTTTGATTTTCTAAATTTAGAGCCCTGCATCTGTACTCGAAATCATTGCGCAAACACATTGTCGCTCGATCGTTATTGCAGGTCTCTAAATGCACGAAAGAAAGAAGTAGAGGGAAAAAGTATAGAAAATAATGCATGCAATATTTTACCATATCCATCGTAGAGAAAAATATTCGTCGATACTAAAATCAAACTTTGTTTATGAAATTTTCCAATCGTTAAAATGGTCTTCAATTTTTAAAAAGTCTTGAAAAAATTTAATTTTAATCGTTACAAAAAGTTGGTCAAAATCCGAGCATCTGACTCAGTTTCTAGTTTGAATTACTTTCAAAAAAAAAAAAAGGTATTCGATCAAAATGAAATCTCGGTACTTTTTCAAAGTATATATTTTCTAAGTCATCCTATAAAGCTTGGAAAGTTCGACATCCAAACTGAACCCGATCCTTGAATCACTATATGATAAGTTTGGAGAATAACGTTAGAATACAAGACAGAGAAAAAAGCCAAAAACAGTGTGCACATTGTGTCATTGAGACTCCTTTAAAGAATATATAATAATGGAAAACATCTAAGAGAGACGCGTTGCTGCTGCTGCTGCTTGTCGCGTGTAATATATCGGCTTTTTGCCAGCCCTGCATTTTCAGCTCGAGCACTGCTCCATACATGTACGCCGTATTATACGTGTATAGCTTTCGTGACTGGAAGCATATGCTTCGAAAAAAATTACAGTAACGTTATCTTCAACGAAGGCAATCAAGCAAATGATATAAAGTGTATACGTACTATAGTACACGGTCGGAGCGCATATATTTCAGTATTACGTCGAAGCGCGCGCGGTGCAACGACCCCCGCCGGTGAATTATACGAATCTCGTTGGAAACTTTCGAAGCGCTCGGTCGTATATGTATATAAAAAATGCAGCGCCGGCAAAAGTGAGAGACGTTGCGCGTCGCCTCGAACAATAACTCGGTGTTTTTTTTTTATAAATATTGCAATCGTGATTCTCGTCATCATCGAGTGCGTCGCGCAACGCGAGTCTCCGCGCGCGCGCGCAGGCGCAATGTATATCGTCATCATAGATCATATATAACAATATACATTTATTATATATATATAATACAAAAAGGCAGGCGAAGCTTTGGAAATTAGGCGCAAACCTGGATATCGACCGGAGGATCGGGCAGTCCCTTGGGCAGCGTCTTGAAGTGCACGTGGCAGGCCTGATCGTTGGCCGCGCGCACCTGCTGGTCCTCGAAGTGCGTCGCCCTCAGGTTCTTGGCCTTGACCGTGACCCTGTAGATGGTCGAGGGCGCCAGGCCCGTGATCGTGTGCCGATAGACGCCCGGTTTGACGGTGCGCACCTCCACGTTGTTCACGCAGACGACGTGCTGATGATTGCTGTTGCTCGGCAGCCACGATATCACCGCCGAGGTGGCCGTGACGTTGCTGGCTTTGACCGCAGTGGGACCGATCTGCACGTCCTTGCCGATGACCATGGTGCAGGCGGCGTCGCGCGACGTACGCCTCGAGTGCGTGACCGAGCGCACGCTTATCCGATGGGGCTGTCCGTACAAATGTCCTCGCTTATATTATCGTATCGTTCATCGAAACAACGAGCAGAGAACAAACAACGAATTCGCAGCCGGTTAACGATATTTAAAGCGGATGCATGGAAGCGCTTTGTAACGATGCCACATAGAGACATTACAGACATTTTTGTATTATATATTTAGATGGATGCTTACCCTGTTGGAGTCGACTCCCTCGACGAGGGCGCGCGTCCTCTCGGTGGCCTTGACGGTGACCTTGAGCACGCCGTCGACGTACACGTGATAGGACTCGATCTGGTGCGGATTGTCGGGCGCCGTCCAGCCGATCAGCACGCTCTTGTTCAGCTGGCGCTCGAGCGTCAGGTGCTGCGGCGCGGGAACTAGGTCCGAAAACAGGCACACTTCTTCATCATCACACGGATCACGAGAGAAACGGAATCGATAAAACAAAACAAGGTAGAGGCCTACGCTGTAGCTAATCATAATTCGAACCTCGGCTAGTAATGCTCGACACAACGAATATATTATTTATTGCGGTCGAGTGTGCAACAGTTTTTTTTTTGCTCCATAATTAACAGAGTAGCGGCATTCCACATCGTATATTGAAAACATGAATACAACTATGTGTAAAAACGCGAACAATGGTGTTTACATCGATTCGTCGCGTCGATTTTATCGATTAACGCGTTCGTTTTTTTTATCTTAACATTCGGAGAAAATTAGCCAGAAATTATATTTTCACAAAGTGCGAACAACCGAAGCTCGTCGGTCTATAGTACATCTGCCGCGTACTACTCGTCGAGAAAATAAAAGTTTTCACTTAACATCGAGTGCAATTGAAGTCGCGCGAGTGCAACGCGATATTTCGGTAATTATGTCGCCGCTTCGGAAATTGAATGCCATATATACACACACACATACAACGAAACGGACTAATTTGCATAAGAGCTGCTCGTTTGATAAAATTGTAAGAAATTATGCCCGAAACGTTTTGCGGAAAAAGAAAAATTCGTACAGCTTATGCTATACCTATATTCGAAGTAGTCAAAGAAAAATAACATCCAGAATAATTTCAAAAATATCGCACAACACAATATAAAGCATACCTGCAATGAAATTAACGAAAAAAAAGTTTTTTTACAAAGCGGATAAAAAAAAGGACACCTTTCGTTTTGCCCATCGAGATTATTAAGTAAAAACGGGGCGCAACAGAACGTACCTGGCGGCTCCGTCTCGTCCTCCTCGGCGATGCTGTCGAGTTCCGCGTAGGCCGACAGCTGCACCTGCCGATCGCGATCCTCCAGCGCCGCTAATTCTAAATCAATGTCCTGCAAGTAACACTGAAGCACACAAGCCCAGCCGTATATGAATCACCAGAGAATCGCTTTTGTATGAACTTAGATGCTAATAATTGTCTATATAAATATATTGCGCATATTTTATATTTTGTGTTGAGAAAAAAAATTTCAGCCGTGAGATAGATAGATTGAGAGAGAGAAAGAGAGAGAGAGAAAACAAATCAAAAATATGCATTATTGCGCATCGTGCGCTCGCTCGCAGTGAGGGGCGGTGGTGGTGAGTACGTGTGTATTCACGAGGAATTACGTATGCATGTTTTAAGGGTAGGTTGTACAACAAAAAGAGAGAGAAAGAGAGATTGGCAACCGAGTTTTTTTTTCTATTCGAACTCCGACGTTGCCAAATTGCCGCGAGGTGCTTTTCACTCGAATCACCCGAAAAAAGACCAATTTTGTCGAGCATCATTTTTGGCAACGCGCTCGTATATACATATACGTGTATAGAGAGAAAAAAAACACAGGAAAGAAAAGTATATAAATATATAAAAACATTCGTATATATCGGTCGGGGCGCAGTATTGGTATCGGTATAGTGCGGACGGACGGATACCTGTGGAATATTGGTCGAGACGGCGTCGTCGACGTCGCGCAATCCTAGCACGGCCTGATGGAACTCGAGCAGATCGTCGCCCACGAGCTTCTGCACGAAGTTGGCCGGCACGAGGCCGCGTCTGCCGTCGAGGGTCTCGGCGTCGAGGAAGCCGTCGTCGTCGGGCTGGCCCCAGACCAGCAGGTAATCGCCACCCTGTACGGGCAGCTCGGCCTCGGGGTTCTCGTTGGGCGAGTGCTGAAACGGCTCGTAGGTGAAGCGCGCTATGTACACGTAGCAGCGGCCCTTGCCCGGTATGTCGAGCATGTCGACCTGGCCGTCGAGCAGGTGGCTCGGCTCGGCGCTCAGCCGATCCAGCGGATTCGTGCCCGCTGGGCCGCCGAGTATGCTCGACGGCAGCTTGGGCATCTGTCGCGTCGACGCCGAGCTCAGGTAGCCGCTGTGATGCGTCCCGACGCCGGCGGCTATCGCTGCCGCCGCCGCGGCGGCCGCCGAGCCACCCGGCGTCGGCGTGGGCGAGCTCGTCCTCAGGCTCTGCTGGATCTGCTGGATGATCGCCTGCTGCTGCAGCTGGTTCACCTGCGACTGTACCGAGAGCTGCTGCATGGCCTGCAGAGGATCGCCCAGCGTCTGCAGAAGACCCGTCGATCCTGCGCACACATATTTATCATGCCAAAGACATTAGTATGCCGAGCGAATCGTCCATAAATCGACCAGCGCGTATAATAAAAGTCCGCAATGCAGCGGCACAATGCGTTTATATACGCACCAGTGGTTCCGGCCGAGGCGCCAAAGGCATTGGTCCCAACCGTGGAGAAGGTATTGGCCGGCGCCGTGGAGAAGGTACTACTGGTCGTTGCCGTGGAGAAGGGAAGCACCGATTGGGGCACGCTGCTGGTGAGATGATGGCCGGCGCCGGTGCCCAGATAGGACGAGCTCGAGAAGGCCGGCAGACCGGACGAGGGCAGACTCGAGGGAAGACTCGACGAACCGCCGCTCACCAACGACGTGTAATTGTGGGGCCCGATCAGGGCGCTGCTGTAGCTCGTCGGCACCTGTATCGAGCTGCTGACCCCGGTCAGGAGGCTGCTGCTGCTGTTGGGTAGCGACGTCATCGGCAGGCCTGGATACGTCGTGCTCTGTGTGCAAGAGAACAAAAAGTTAAAAATTGTATATCGATTGGAGAGTGAAAAATCGAGAGTCGTACACGTACCTGCGTTTGAGTACCGGGAAGCTGGTAGCTCTGAGTCGTGAGGCCACCCGTGGGCTGGTGATGCGTCAAGCCGCTCTGGCTGTTGAGGTAGGACGAGGCCGCAGCCGTAGCCGCCGCCGCGGCCGTCGACGTGTGATGCTGCTGATGGCCGAGTGCCGATTGATGATGATGATGCGAGCTGATGGGCGCGTGAATCTGCGCCACCCCCGACGACGACGTGCCCGTGCCGCCCGTCAGGTGCGACGCGTACGACGACTGCGTGTGAGTGTGCGGATAGCTCTCCTGGTAGCTGCTGCTCACGCTGACGCTGTGCGGGGCGTGCGTGAGCGTCGGATGATGACCGCTGCTGGTACCGCCCAACACCGACGACTTGACGAGGCTGCTGTGCGTCGGCACGATGTCCTGGTAAGGCTTGTTGAGGCTCGTAGACGTCAGACCACCGCTGCCTGCGCCGCTGCTGCTGCTGGTCTGCTGAAACGCGGGATGAGACTGACTGCTCGGTAGTGCGGACGAGGGCGCTGGTGGGATCGGGTCGCTGCAGTGGTATAACGGCCCGTTCGGCGTTTGAGACGTGCAGCTCGACTGCTGCTGCAGCATCGGCGTTAACGGCATCGGCGACTGACACGTAGGGTACTACGATTTTTGCGGTCACCCCCACCCGTCCATATACGTTACATTATTAATAATGTTCGAGATAATGTTCAGACTTATTTCTGGGGCGCGCATGCAGCAGCACCACAATGCGACAGAGGAGAGAGTCCATTGAAATTTATAATGCAGATATGTAGAGAGAGAAGCAACGACTTTACAGATGGAAGATGATGATTATGTACCAAATTGTTACATCGATTAGTATAGGGGAATATGTTAATGAAGATCGTTTCGGAGGGTAGCCAAAACTACTACTCGTTGGAAAATTTATTCGAGTACAACAAAGTTGATGAAGATGAATGATGTCGATGATAATGACGATGAAGATGACAATGATGATGAATCAACGTCTCTACGTGATGAATTTTTAATATACGAAATACTGAAGGTAGACATCAATATACCAGGGGACGAGCTCACAAGTAAGATTATAATAAAATACGAATCAAACGATGCATTATATACTGGGTTTTATGGAAAATAACAAACAAATTACTATGCAAGATCAAAAATTCAAGTTTCAATCGATTCATGCCTTGGTTAGTTAGAAAATTAGATACAGTAGTATCTGCTTCGAAAAATATTTTAACATTTTTTTAGTTAAACTTTATAGCAAGAAGAAGGAGCTTAAAAAATAACGATTACCAAAAACAGTCTCTGTTTGGATTTAGAGAAGGAAAAAAGATCGATATTGAAATGAAACAAAACAAACTTTATTAGCGAGACAGTGAATCAAAGTTTTCGAAACAGTTGCTCGGAGAGATTGACAGGAAAAACAAAGCTTAATATAACGACGAACGTATACATCGAGCCTGATTAGATACGCATGCGGCGAAAGTGTAAAAATATCCGCGAGCACAGCTGGAGAAACGACGACGATCGCGACCCGATGCTCCGAGTGAATAAATGAACGACGCGGAGAGAAAGCTCTCGATATTACGTGCATTAAAGGTGATGCGATTTTCTCGTTGCATTCGAGATCGCTACGCAACGCAATATTCCATCTTCGCGTGTGCGCGAGATAAAATCTGATGGAGTGTTATACACTACGTACGTATCGACGGAAAAGCTCGGTCGACCAACAGTAGTATATAGCAGCGAGCAAATTAAAGCCGCGCGCGCGCGCGTACACAACAGATGTTATTATATATTATATACAATGTGTACACCTCGTTGCCGCTAAATGATATGCGCTGGCAGAGCTCCGCGGCATTACAGTAGACACTGCACCGGCCGCGCGACACGCAGTCCTCGAAACGATTTGCATCGGTAATTTATTCGGGTAATAATTTAACTGCGGCGGCCATAATCGATAAAATTCCATGGCGATACAAGATTCAATAAAGAAAATTGTGTAGATCTTTTTTTTTTATTATTACAACGATGCGCCACTTATCCCGTGTAATATAGTTACGAGGCTCGCGGTGTATAATAGATTCACGAATGGCTCGGAAATAGTTAGCGAGAGAGATGGAGATTAAAAGATTTCGAAATTTCCATACACAGTTACCAATACTGCGATTATATAATAGTAATACCACAATAAAGCATGCGTAAATACACGTATTAATATAGAGGGAGATAGTCAAAGGGCCGTATATAGAGAAATTTTTTGATCGATCATAGATAGATACGTACGTGGCTGTGTCCCAGATGCTGATGCTGAACGAGGCTCGACAGATTTTCCGCGCTCGATCTCAGCACGTTTTGGCTTATGGAGGATGGCTGCTGCGTCGTCACGCCGCCGCCGCTACGCATGTGATCGAGGTCGTGCAGTATCCTCCCGCTACTGCTGCACACACCCCCGGATTTACGCAAACACAAACAGACAAAAAGAACGCCCGGCACCGATGCGCCACCGATTAATATCGTCGTTATTAATTATATGAATTTTTACGCGATTATACGAATTCAGCCATATGTAATACAGGAATTATATAGGCTGATAGACGTATAACGCTAGTGTGTGTGTGTGTTCTATAATAATATCATAAAGGTGTGCTTTTGTTGTACTCATACTTATACAATTATAACCCACTGAGCTTTTGCGTATATTTCTTTCTCTCTCTTCAGTCAGAGCCTGAAACTATCGTGTGTATATCCACGCGCGTAGTTGTACACCGGCTCGTGAGTATTTAATTCCGCAAGAAAAACGTAAATCCAGCGTAGCCAGGGCTGCACTGCACGCACTCGTGTACGCAACGATAACACTATATGCCAAACGAAGGGTTGGGCATTTAGGCAGAGAGCCCGCGTACTTACGCTGTGTTTACGTTTTTTCCGCTGTTGGTATTAAACTCCAGAGCCAGTGTGCAAGTACATGTTACGTGTGCACATGTAGCGCTCGCGTTCAGAGAGAGAGAGAGTTAGAAATATTATTCCAGCAGCGACCTATTTTCGTGTCTCTCTCTCTCTCGCTGGGTATAACTTTTTTTTCGTCGCTTTGTCGTCGACGACTTATGCAGTTTACCAGAGGGAGAGAGAGAGAGAGAGAGGGAGATTATACATGTACGCATAGCGATATTTGCTGGGCATGTGTACATATAAATATGCCCTTCTTCGTAGTGGGTGTATAACGTATAAATATATACTTATAATATATATTTAAATACTTTCTATGTCTATAATAATCCTACGTCTACGTTGTTTAAAATAGGCTAAAAACTCTACACGGCGTGTTTATTACAGAGAACTCGTGTGTGTATATTCGAATGGTATATGTGTTGCAACGATTTAGGTATTTGCTATATGGCGAACGTTATGTTATGTTTATTCTAATATGAGCCACTATTTTGTATATTATTATGTGTGTGTATTATGTGTGTCGAGCTATGCGACTCTGCGACTAACTGCACTTTCTAACGAGCGATACTAGTGTGTATATGTATATAGGAAGAGAGAGAGAGACTACGGAGCTGCTAATGAGAGTCTTTGGGTGCACGAACCACCACCGGAGGCGATAGATTTAATATGCTTTTCGGTCAACGCGACAACGACGACGACGACGACAAAAAATTTTACACGTCACCGTTAAACTGCAGTACACGTTTTCGTTGCGACTATATATAAACGTATGCGTGCGTAAGTGCGAAAGGAAGATCGTGCGCACGGATACGCGCGCGCGTCATAATAATATTTTCGGATCCGTGCGCGTGAATTAATTCGTCGTTTTCGCGCGCGTATACATAATTGTACGAATTATAAATTCGCGAGGTAATCCCACGAACAACAACGGTACGTTCGCCGCGCCGAGGCTGTATATATGAACGAGAAATACAAAGCTCTCAACGAAGCTCGAAAGCACATCCGATGATATTGCTATTTTCTTCCTTCTCTTTCTCTTATATTTTTTGCGTCTTGGCGTAACTATATATCATATTTCGAACGAGAAAGAAATTACAAAAAAAAAAAACTTTGCTCGCGCAGAGAGCGAGAGAGAGAGAGAGAGAGATTCAGAAACTTCATTTTAATCACTGCAACTCGCGACCCGCGGCAGCGCGCGCATTTTCCGTCGTCGTCGACGTTATAATAGCTGATACAAAACTTTTCTCTTTCTATATACGCGGGCTTTAAGCCGCGCGAGTGTATCTTGCAGAACCACTTTTCGCGCGCGCTCTCTCGAGCAGCCCCCTCCCCTTCTCCGCATGCTGCTGCTGCTTCTGCTGCGGTAAAACTGCAACTCGCGGAGGAATCTCGCGCGCAAGCACGGCAGACGGGAGCTTGCGAGCCGAGCGCGTATACGTATTATAGGTACCGCTCGAGAGAGAGAGAGAGAGAGACGAGAATAAAAGTATTATAATCAAAAAGTACGCGCGCGCGCGCGCCAGATGTGTAATGGTGTACGCTTCGAGAACACTTTTGCCATTACTTCCGTGTCCTCGAGTGATTTTACAATTTCATTATACGAGAGAGAGGCGGAAATCGTGCGTAATTCGACTCTCTGCTCGCAAACGAAAGAAACGAATTTGATATCGTTCGACGAGTATGAATAAATGTCTGCTCGATGTTCGCACGTAATAATTATCCATAATAGCAAGCTTAAAAAATATTTATATAATAATATGTAACGAATTAGGCCAAAAAGACAAGCTCAAGCTCGTGTATGTAGTCTAAGTTGTTTGAAAGCGCGTTTGCGAACGTCGAAAGTCTGCTGTATGTCTGTGTGTGTGCGCAGCAGCAGCGAGAATGGTTAATACAGTGTGCGATGTTATTGCGAAGCGAGCGCAACTATAAGAGCCGATCGGGGTGGGCTCGCTTCTGCACTCGGCTCTCTCGCGCAAGCTGGCTCGCTCGAATAAAAGCACGATCTCAGCTGGCTAGAGATATTATATAGCGAAGCTCGGAAAAGCGTGTACTTTGTGTATAATACGTGCATGCCCTCGCCGAGCGTATTTTACACACACCCTCCCTGTTTTATATACTACTATATATATACGCCGAGGATCTCGCAAAACTGCATCGGTGGATTTATTATATTATATTATTATTATATATACCGTGTATACCGACTGTTAATTGTTTGCATTGTGCGCGTGTGTAAGTACGTGTGTATACGTGTATGATGTTGGTTAACGTTATGTACAAGGCTTGTATAATGTAATATAATAGCAGCTAAACGTCTGCCTAAACGCAGCAACGTTGTGTATAATTACAGCTCTCTGCGTGTGTGTTTATATGTAAACTAGCTCGCGCGAGCATAATTATCGTATGGATCATTACGTATCGCCTTTGGGCCGTTAATATTTCACGTTATGCATTGCGCGCGGCGCTCGGGCAATTGTCGCGCGCTGCACAATATGCCACACACACAACGCACAATCGACTCGTGATTATAAATATATAAACTCTGCGGGCGCGCATTGCGGGCTAGAAGTGTATTACAAATATGATAGTTAGAGAGATTAAGAATTATTATTGCCGTACGTGCGATACCTGTCCAGTTCGATTTTAGCCATGAGCCGATCGATCTCTGAGCCAGCAGGGGGCCAGGTGGCCGTGGCCATGCCCGGCATCGTTTGATGATGCAGATGATGATGATGATGATGCGGCGCTTGATGACAGCCAAGCGCCGCACTGCCGCCGCCGATACTACTACTCTGTTGTTGCTGACTACTACCACTACTACTCGTGATGATATGCTGCTGCTGCGTGGCATGGCTCAGGGCACTTGGACCCCGACTGCGGGCTCGTTTCAAGCTCGTCAGCTCGAGGCTGAGCTCCTCCTGGCGCACCTGCTGCAGCTCCGTCTTCTTCTCGAGCTCGCGTATCTTGGACTGGAGCGCCTCGACGGACTCCGGGCCCTGGTAGCGGCCCGCCAGCTTCTCGCGCAGATGGTGCTGCACCTCGGCGTGCTGGCGCTCCAGATCGGCGCGGCTCCGCTCCGTGTCTTGCATTTGCTGCGTGCAGGGAGAAGAAGAAGCCATATGGGGACAGACAAGACAAAGGCGCGGGGGGACCCCGAGGGTCAGTCATCTTTTCAGTTTTTTGTTTTTTTTTTTTTTTCGTCGATCCACACACAGAGCGTTAATCAGAGTATCAGCTTTTCTATGTACAAATTGTACGTACGCAATTTTCAGCGCGATTTATCGTTGGATTAAAACTTGCGTCGCGAGCTTATTCCCGCGCGTGTATATCCGCGACGCAGAAAAGTTGCTGCCCGGTATTATTACGTGTACGTTATACAAAATAAGTTGGCTGCGGCGGATTTGCCTGCCGGAGCACGACCATATACGTATAGAGCTACTACCACATGGCTGCTGCTTATAATACTCTACTCTTCGTGCGCAATAGTTTTCAATGAAAAGCTCGAGAGAGAGAGCCGCACCCCCGCGCGTACACTCCAATTAAACTTATTACAAACAAAGCTTCGAGTGGTGTTCGCAGCAGCGGAGAGACAAGCTCCGAACGCCACCGCCGCCGCCGCTGTAGAGCCCAGCTGTATAGCAGCTGCTCTCGAGTATGCCGTGCGTTCGAGAGCATGCAGTGCACGGGCGGGGTGACGTCCGAACGAGAGGCCCAAAATACCGTATACAGCCGTGTGGTAGTAGCGATAGTAATAATTGTTGTTGTAGTAAGTTTTTGTACACACGCGCGAAGGGCGTGAAATAGTTTTACTCGTGCGTACTGCTGGTAAAGGCTGGCTTTGGCGAATTTGTATAATTTTCATTTTCTGCCCGAAAGAACGAGTACATATTTCAGAAACGCGCGGCAGATATTTCACCATTTTTTAACCCTATCTGCTTTCATTGATACGCGAAGCGCAAGCACGGTTGAATGCGCCGAAAACGATTAGTTTCGTCGAAACGATATGGTGCACCTGATCGTGTGTGATTGCAGATCGAATAAAAAAGCTAGACTTTTGTAAACGTCATGATAAAATGGAAGCGTGCGAGATCATAGGTGCAAATCTTTGAGAGGTGTTGAAATGAATTGATATTTTTGTAAAAGTGAAGAAGAACCGCATTAACGCTAACTTTTTATTATATACACTGTTATTAAAAAAAACCTTAAATTTAATGCAGATTTAATATGAAATCAAGCATTAAATTTAATACAAGCAATATTGCATTTTTTAAGGTACTTTTACATGAAATTTTCGTTGGAAATTAATTTTAAGTACTGACTTTTGTTCTTACATAAACTGCACAAAAAATGCAGTTCAATCATATACATAAATTTGAAAACAAAAATAAACGAACAAGATTCAATTTCATACTTGAATTTAAACAATTTTCATAGGAAATGAATGTTTTAGTATTGATTTATTTTTTGCGCTAATCCTCGAAAATTCAAGAAATTCAATGATAATTAATGCGAGTCTCTGCCACTAGATGGCGAGTACCTTTATATCTAAAAATCTGCAAGTAGTAAAGTGAAAATAATTGTATATAAATCATAGCACAAATCGGTAAATCCTACCATTCATTCAATCAAAACGTGGACAACAAAATAAAACAATAAGGGCGGAAAAAGTTTTTCTAGCTCATATATTAATCTAAATTCACGTAAAAGAATAAAGTTAATGCTATCTGAATCAAATTTAACGAATTGTACCCCGTATTTAATGTAAGATTCTAGCTTAATGAATCATTACTTTTTTCTAATCTAATTCAAATTACACCAATTTCAATGATATATTTTTAACAGTGTATATGAAAAAAATTACGCGATGCGTTCGTGGAGAGCTGCGCACATCTCAAGGCACTATATCTTTTCTAACTCTTGGAAAGCTAATATTATATATATATGATGAACGGAGAAGCTCTCGTAGACGCGCGTGTATTGTTATACATATGCGATCGGCTTTTTTTATGATGAGATATGCTGAATTTGAATATGACAGACGAGATTATCGGAGCTGATATTGTGGTAAACGCAAAAAAGTCAAGCTAGAGGTAATATATTAGAAAAAAAATTGAGATATAAAAAAGAGAGCGAGACAGACAGACAGAGAGAGAAAAAATGTATAAGAAAGAAGAAAAACTGTCGACTCGACGCTCTTCTTCTCTCTTTTTCTTTTTTTTGTTGTTTGTGACTCACCTCGAGAATGCTCTCGAGCACTGGGTCCTGCATGCTGCTGGCGGGCCTTGGGGCGCTGACGGCTGCCCCGAGGTTGTTGGATCCAGTGGCCAGCAGCTGGCTTGGTTGTGGTGCCGTGGACGCGCCACCTCCGACGCCGCAGCACTGCGCAGCGGCACATGCGAAAAAACGATAAATTTGTATTACATCGATATATATATGCGTGTAATATCGCGTAAATCATCGTGCTGTAAATATGAATAAAAGTCGGCGCGCGGGAAAATCTATAACGTATACGTAACGCGCCTTTTCGCGTCGCGTACTACTACTGCTGCTACTACATCGATCGATTTCTCGTGACGTGAAAGAGTAGGAAAAGTGCGTGGAGCTCGTTAAAACGGGGCAAACGCCCAGAGCAATGGGTAAAACCGCAACGAGAGAAACCAGTGGCGCAGCCCGTTCCATATATTATATGGTCGCAGGCGCGCACCTCCTGACACGTGTCTACGTGTGTGTGTGTGTGTGTAAAATACTTATGTATTGTGTTATATACATAGGCTCTCATCAGGCCAGCAGCGTCAAACCTATTGATCTATACCCGCACACCTTTCCACGTGTGTGTGAGTATGAGCTTGCACCCATGTGTACACATACACACAGCTGTATACATACATGCTACTACTATATAGGGAGACGTCGAACCGAGTGCTATCGTCCCCAAGCAATCTTAATTAATTGGCGCCTTCTATCCCTCTCTCTCTCGCCTCCTCTCATTTACCACATCCCTCCTCTCTGTGTGTGTATATGCCCTCACGGCGGCTCGGATATATGTACTTCCTTATATACCCACCTCACTCTCGCTCTCGCTCTCTCTCTATCTTTCTCTTCTCTTTCGTGGCGCGCATTCGCAAGCTCGAACATGCGGCCCTTTCAAGCCCTCTATGTATATACCCTCACGTAACTTTGAGATTTTTGCGACTAGCTCTCAACCCCCTGTTCGCGTATGCGATCTTTATTTATTTATTTTTCTTCTTTGTTTTTACTGAGCATCGAGACCCCTTTTTTTCTCTTCTCGTTCGCGGTGGCGGCGACGACGAGAGCTGTCACACTGATAATGCACGTATTATCCATCATTTATCGACAGTTCATTTTTTCTCGCGCCAAGATTTTCTCTCCTCCATATATATACCGCCGTGACACCGTGAGTCGCGCTTCGTTGGAAATTTATTTTACCTTTTTTTTCGTTCGTTCGTTCCCTCGTTCGTTCGTTCCAGATCGTTTCGACTTTGTTTTATTACCCCGGCCGCGCGCGATGGTTTGTCGTTGCACCATTGCGTTTTCGGAATCGTGTCAGCGATCGCACATAAAATCCATAGTTTTTTTTTTCCTTCCTTTTGCTCTCCCGTGTTCTTCCTAAACTTTTGATGCTGCTCTCATCGTAAATGCTGTCATTGAAATTTCGCCAACGACTTTTTCGCCCGAAATTTACTCAAAATAGCACCACCATCATCCATTGCAAACACACACACACACCTTTACGAGCTCGAACTCGTAAACTCGCGACTCGTGTGTGTATATCCATGTATAAATGTGATATTCGACAGTCTTATATGAGCATTATCTCGTGCATGATAAATGAGAGGTTTTCTAAAAGCGGCATTACGCCGGCTCCGATATAAAGTTCGAGCGCGTCACACACTGACCAAAGATCTGTATCCGTTTTTATAACATTTTTGACCGATCGTTGCCTGTACACGGGATCACTTTTCGCTTCTCCAAGTCAGAAACTAAAAATAACATTGACTCTGTGATATTTTGACCGACAGCTACTCTCGTTTCGTGGATCGAATTAATCGCGTATCTCAAAGATCTTCGTGACTGGTTTAGCGAATTTTCCGAGTCCTAGATATTTCTAACAAACTATGCCTGTAATCGATAATTTTTAAATAAAAAAAAGTAAATTTGGAAACGACTGAATCCATGGAAATTATATGATCTTTGTCGTGACCTTGCCCTTTAAAAAAATCCTCAGCAACGAATGATGCATATTTTTCATTTTATCGAGAGTTTTCATTCATCAGCGGAAAAAAAGGAAAGAAAGAAACTACAAATGGTTTTTCCTATTTATCGGTATGAAAGAGAGAAACAACAGGAATAAGAAGCTAGTTCTTTTTTCTTCTTCTTTCGACACCTTTTACGAGCGGTATAAGTAGTAGCTTCAAAAAGCTATTGAAATTGCAAAAGAATGAAATATCGAGAAGAAAAGAGACGAAGAAAGGGAGGAGGAGTAGTAGTAGCAGCAGCAGCGGAGGAGGAGGAGGACCTAAATTTTGATCTCTTTTGCGGTGGTGGTGGCGCGAGCGCGCGGCTGTGTGATGTAATCCTTCGAGACTCCCTCTTTTCTCAAAGGCTGCACGTGCCTACGTCTGGATGAAACGTACACAGGATAGATAGGAAAACGAGGCACGCTATAGCGAACAAGAGAGAAAGAGAGAGAGAGAGAGAGAGCCTATAGGAAAAGAATAATTTCAAATGTCCAGCGGGGTGCTGGCCTGATCCGCTTGAGATATATTTTTTCTTCCTATATACGCATTCGGAACTCGTATCACGTGCTGCACTGCGCGATGACAATTTTTTTTTCGATTAATTTTCAGGCCTCGGTGTGAGCTTGCAGTTAGCAGCAGCACATATACATCGCGCGTGTGTTTGTATATGGGCACGTGCTCGCTCGAGACACGTTGACCTTTGAAAAATTGCTTACTTTATTTTCGTCAGTCATTTTTTTATTCTCTGCTAGTTTGACCTTCGATATATGCCGCAGTATATAAGTCGGCTATGTATCACGAAGAATCGAGCGGATTCTTATATAAAGCCTCAGCTGAAAAAGATCAAGCCGCATAGAGAGAGAGCCACGATGAAAAACTCATTATAAGATATATATAGGATAAAAAGATAAGTACAGCCCAGCTCCTCTCTCCGTGCCATGGGCTGCTGCAGTGCGTCCATTTCAATCGATACGCTCTGGTAATTATAATACCCAACTTGACTGCAGCTTCTCTCGGCTCTTTTCTTCCTTCTTCTTTTTTTTTTTTTTTTTTTTGCTCTCACCAATAGCGACGAATGATGATTAATTATTTCAGCTCCTGTTCGCGTAGACTTATATACGCGTCGCTTAATATCGCGAGCGAGAGAGAAGGAGAATAATGCCGACGCATCGATTGAAAGAAAATTAAGTAATAAATTGACTGTGTACAAGGCAGTTAACCATGCCACTTTAGCAAGATATAATAACGTTTTTTTTTTTCGTGTAGCTCCGTAAATAAAGCGTCACGATGTTACGCGAGATACGTACACGACAAAAAAAAGGAAGAAGAAGAAGAAGAAGCTATTATTATACGCAAGGATGAAAAATTGTTCTTTGATTGATGTTGTGTATATTTTCGCGCAGTTATTCACCGACGTAAGATATTGAATCAAAAAGCTCCGAGCTTACATTAATAATTCAGTCGTAGCAATTTGTTGTGCATATGTCTCTTTAAATAACACAATCAACTTTTTCCCTGAAACTCGCGCAAGTGGGCTCTTTTGAAGTAACAATTTTACTTTTTTTTCCTCCCTCTCTATCTCAACGTTTTTATTCACTAAACGAAAAGCTTTTGAGCTCAAACAACATTATTATTCTTTTCAAAAGTCGGTGGCATCACAATACGGAATACCTTCCAGCGGTTAATTTTGCTATAGCGACGTATATACGTACGTTGCGCTTCGAATTTCAGATTTTACGTACGTTACGCATATATACTTTCACGAGCTACATACGCACACTCGAATGGGGTTGGTATCCAGAATTTTTCGTTCAACCTGCACGTACGCGCGAGCACGAGAAAATATAAATGACAATTTTGACTCGAGTATTAATATAACTTTCGAGGCAAACGCCGTTACCGCCTCCGCCGCACGGGCGCGAGCTTCAAAGCTGCAAAATCACAAGTTTGGCAGAAAAAAAGCTCGATAACTAATTAGCAAAGAATGGCGAAGGCACGAACAAGCGAAAAGTACATAAAATTGCGGTGCACACGTAACGACCAGGGCGCGCGCGAGGGAGAGAGCGAGAAAAAAGCATGTTGAAAAAAAAAATATGTGTCAAGAGCATGAAGCAGCGGTACAAATACAGACTTGAGAGTTTCAGGAGTCACCCGAAGAGAAAGAGAAAGAGAGAGAGAGAGAGAGAAAGAAAAAACTTGGCTTGGGGATGAAAATTCGACAGTAATAAGCGGAAAAATGTTGCATGATGAGTTGTATAGCTGTGGAGGCGCTTTATGCGGGCTGGAATTTTCAGTAAGTGGCAATAAAAATTGACGAACATTCAAAACGGTATTTATATCGTTGCAAAGATCACAGAGTTTGCGAGAGAACGAGAGAATGATTAAAAAGGTTGAAAACGTACTGAAAAAAAAGCACGCAGTCAAGACTTTCCAAGCGGCGACGAGAGCTCTCACTTTACACGCGCGCGCGCCCGACTTCGCTGCGATTATTGTTGTCGCACAAAAAACGAGAGCGACGCTAATTTTCCTCGCTCGCGACGATGCATCGAGTGTGAAACAAGAACGCAAAATGCAATACAGACAACCGGATCGAAAGCTGAGCTTTTTTTACGTCAAAAATACCATTTTTCACTATAGCGCTGCCACAGACTGTCTCTTTGTATATCCAATGCAGTACTTTGTATCTTCGTTGAATAAACACATTCCTCATTGCGAATATTCGGAGGAGTGACAAGAATGTTCGCCATGCCCTTAACGATGCAGCATCAAAAGTTAGATATACATCGTTATATGAGAATTACAAATTGGCGTTTTGGGACAAAGGGTAAATTTTTCTTTGCAATCTCAAAAATGCATTAACTTTGATGGTGTATAAAATTTTAACCAGTCATTAACCAGATAAGAAATTAACCACAATGAAGAACGATAAACCGAAAGATCTCATCTGTCGGCGTATCTACTAAAACATAACTGACGGGTTTGCCTTATACCATCGAAATTACGGGCTTCCGAGCTGTGGTTTCAAAGCGACTATAACCCAAAAGGTAAAGATAAAAAAACGAGGCAAAAATTAAAGACTCGTCTGCCGTAATATCGAAGGGTCAAATGCAAAAAAAAGAG